GTGATTTAACTTTTTTCTTATTATTATGCTCTCCACCAGTAAGTTAAAACCTACTTTAGTTTAGGACGATGAGGTGATAGAAGCTCGTTTTTGATAAGGTAGGAGTCACAAGCAACATGGCTAGTGGATATACCATCTGGGAGTAATACGGTTCAAGTTGATGGCACTTGAGGGACATCCGAAATACCAAGAAATAGGCCTGATCACGGTTCGGATCGGTTCGGTTTGGGGATAAATCCCAAGCCAAACCGGTCCCCACGGATTGGTTAAAACTGAAACCGAACTGATCTGTGGGGGCATTCAATCCGAACCAAACCGATCCGTGAGTTAATGGATCGGATCGGATTGGTTCCCACGGATTGGGCTGATTGGGCTTTTCAAACAGCCCATTCAATTATGGCCCATTATCAGCATTCAATTATGGCCCATTATCAGTAATATATTAGATTTGTAAATCCATATACCTAATAACAATTACAACAACAATAGATTTATATAACAGCAATAAAATTTCAAAATGTATTTGGCCCATATAAATACCACCACAAACTTAAATTACCTAACAACAAAAAAAAATTGTAAATCATCCGGAAGTGAAAATAATATTACAGTACCAAATATAAATTATCCAAATAAAACAAAACAAAATACTTAAATAGTAACCCAGTATCTCATTAGCATAGAAAAAAAAAATAGCACAATAAAACATCAAACAACAGTCTTGACTAGCAGCAAAACAAGTCTGAAAATGGCAGCAAGCAAGGCTAGTTCCCAATCTGAATCTGAAACTGTAGTCACATCTACAAAATAACATAATTTAATTAAAATCCACAATATGATATTTATTTATAAATTGAATAAAAATGTAACAAATTGTTAACACTTACCAGAGTCGTATTGTTCAAGTTCCTCCAACTTTTCTTCAACATCAATTGGTGTTGGTGAAGCCCGTAACCAATCTTGTGTACAAATTAAGCATTCCACAAGCTTTGGAGTTAAAGAACTACGGAATTGATCAAGCACACGACCTCCAGTGCTAAAAGCGGACTCCGAAGCAACAGTAGAGACTGGAACAGCTAGAATATCTCTTGCAATTTCAGAAAGTATTTTATACCTACTTCCGTTCACCTTCCACCAATTCAAGATGTCAAATTCTGGAACATCTTCAAAAGCTTCGTCCAAATATTTTTCCACTTCCGACTTGGGAGTAGAACTTTCTTTTTGTATCTTGCGCTTTATATACAAAGAGGAAAAATCATCTTCCACATTTCCATCATCAACTCCCACCTCATTTGCAATATTTCTTGTTCCACTAGAGGTTGAAGTAAATGCATGAAACTTTGCATATTCACTAAAAATGCGGTTGAATGTATCCATTACCTTTTTACTAAGGTTTTGAACCATTTCAAGAGAATAAAGTTGGGAATAACAAAATTCCACAAATTCCAATTTATAGCGAGGATCCAACACAACTGCAAGCACTACCAACGTGTTCACTTTTTCAATGCTTCCCCAATATTTGTCAAATTTAATTTTCATTTTTGATGCCATATTACTTAACCAAGTATCAGGACTCTTTGACCACGTATTTAATGACTTTTCAATTCCCAACACTTCATGAAAATATCTATTGGAAGTAACATACAAAGATCCGGAAAGCTTGTTAGTGGCCTCATAAATTGAAAAAAAAAAAAAAATCAAAACTCGAGCAGATTCCCAATCAGTACTAGAAGGAGCTTTATTATTAACTTCCGGTAGGAATTGAATATCATCATCTTCTAACCTTTCAAAAGATTTTTTGAAACTTTACGGCCACCTCTAACATAAGGTATGTGGAATTCTATCTAGTTGAAACATCTAGGCACAAATGTGACTTAAATGTTATATTCTCCCTCTTCACACATGCTTGAAAACGCTCTCCCCGTTGTGGAGAACTCCTGACATACTTCACAGCTTCACGAATTCGAACTATTGAACCATTTACATCACTCAAAGCATCTTTCAGAATCAAATTCAATATATGTGCACAACACCTCATATGAAAACATTCACCACCTAAAAGGAAAGAGCCAACATTCTTAGAAAGCTTCTTTTCTTTCAAATATGCAACCGCAAGATCATTTGAACTAGCATTATCAACCGTGAGTGTACACAATTTGTCTATACCCCAATCAAGCAAACAAGTCTTAACTGCACGACCAATTTCCTTACCCTTGTGACTAGGCATTATACAAAAATTCAGAATTCTCTTGTGTAAGGTCCCAATTCTTATCAATGAAATGAGCCGTGAGAGACATATAAGAAAGATTTTGAATTGACGTCCATATATCAGTGGTGAAACAAATTCTTTGATTGAGTTGATTTACTAAGGTTTTCAACTTCTTCTTTTCTATAGCATACAATGCCAAACAGCCCCTAACCACAGTAAAACGTGACAACAATTTGAATTTTGGTTGCAAGACACTAAGAAAATAACGAAAACCTTCACGCTCAACAAACTTGAAAGGAAGGTAATTCATCAATGATAATCATTTTAGTAAGTGCTTGTCTACACAACTCCTGATCAAATTTCCAAGAAACCATAACACCCTCTCCTTTAGTAGTTGACTGAAACGAAATGAATTTTTGTTTCTTGTCAACATTAAATGGATATTGTTGGCATCTACTTATGTGGTTCCTCAATGTACTTGTCCCATTTCCACTAGACCATGAATAAGATGCACTACAATAGTTGCATTTCACATTACATTTCGACTTAGTAGAGTTAGGGCCTTTCTCTTTTGTGAAATGGTCTCAAACATCAGATATGAAACGTTTTTTGCTATCATTGGTGCCAGCAGCAGTAACTTCAGGCCTTGGAACATTAGTATCTTCTGCAGTTGTCATCTGCCAGGAAAAGAAATTGTTACAAAAATTAGTGGAAGATTGCCAGATCACAACAACAACAGTGAGAATTAAACATGTATATAAATAAGTGGAACAGTGAGAATTAAACATGTATGTAAATAAGTGGAACAGTGAGAATTAAACATATGTGTAAATCAGTGGAAGATTGCTAGATCACAGCAACAACAGAAAATTCAGCCCTAAAAGAGAGAAACTAATTATAATGAATCATATTCTACAGATAAATTGATAATTAATTATATAAGTGGACAAAAATAAAGTTGAAAACCACATTAAAATGTTCCAAAACAAGATGAGTGATAATAATTAGATTTGGAACTTTCTACATAAAATAAAAAAAAAAAAAAAAAAAAACATATGTTAAAAGCATAAAATCTGCACACAAAAATAATTAAGTGAAAAACAAAACAAGTTCAAAGTATAGGAGCCACTAGCATGAAAGCATATAGGTGAGCCAACATAATACTCCTTCGGCAGAGTGAAACTTCACAATATGACCCCTCCAAACTCCACGTATTCAATGACCCGTGAGACCACGAAAGAGAACGAACAACAATGATGGTGTACTGTTGAGTGAAACTCTACGAAATATCTTTCAAAACTGTTTCTATTTTATATTTTTATTGTTAAATTCATAAAAAAATACTGAAATAAAGTCGCAATCATATTTGGTAACTTAAATCTAAAACTAACATATATATATATATTAGATAAAATCATTACAAAAAATTAAGTAAAATATTTGGTACCTATGGGAACTTCTATACAAAACAAAAATTAAAATATGTAGATAAAATCATAAAATTAAGTAGATAAAATACAACCCTTTTTTGGTAATCAAACAACAGTTTATGCATGCAATCAGTGGAAAACCATTGCAAAAAATGTTCAGAGAAGAGGAGAATAAGTAGATCCATGCAAAAATCTTGTGAACTCACCAGAAAAGAGGTAGATCCAGTCGAAGAGGTCGCCGTGGCTTCGATACGCAGAGGTCACCGTTGCTTCAAATCTGGTGAATGATGGTTGAAAGGTGTTGGATTGAGAGACGAGAGATTGGGAGGCGAGAGATTGGGAGAGGCGAAGAGTATCACAGACTCACAGAGGCGAGAGGAGATTCAGGAGAGAAGACCGAAGAGGGTGAAGAGAAGAGGCTGAGTTAGTGAGGGAGGCGCGGCTGGAATGAGATTGGAGTAATGTCGTAATGAAGAGGCGAGGCTGAGTTAGGGTTAGGTTAATATTAAATGAATAATGAAAAAAAAAAAAAAAAAAAAAAAAAAAAAAAAACGATATACCATTATATTGTGTGTGTATATATATATATAATACATTAATATATTATTCAGTCACGGTTCGATTCAGTTTGTCTAACGGTTCGGATCGGATCTTTCAGGGCCCAATCCGTTAACCGAACCGCGGGCACCGGATTACAGATTTTTTAAACCATCACCGAACCATTAGATTTGAAAACCGAACCGAACCACACGGATCGGATTGGTTCGGATCGGATTGACGGATTATTTGCTCACCCCTACCAAGAAAGGATGTGAGTGAGACAATTGAACTAGATGGTGGCATTTCAAATTTTTTTTTTTTCTCTTCTTCTTTGGTACCTATGGCATATTTTTACAGGAAAAACGAAAAAAGAATGTGGCCATCAATCAACCGTAGTTCCAAATAAATTCTACTAGCCCACCTGAGTTGTTTGGTTCTTGGAATCAATAATGTATAGTTGAGTTCACAAAGAAAAACTGGCTGACCTTTTGTGTTATTTTACGGTCTGTTTGTGTGTGTTTAACGCGTAGTAGTAATAGTATTTTTTAATTGATATGCCTATTCACTAGGCATCTTTTTTCACAAGATTTCTGCTTATGCATCTCACTTAAATTTAGAGGGAAGTTGTTAACAGATTTAAAGCCAGAAGTGCCCTTATTCAGGCAGGCTTGACCTGGAACTGTAAAGAACTAATTGTTGCTGCCACACCTATAATCAAGCAGAAGATATTTCTCTAAGCATAAAATGAGTCATCAATACATCAGTCATCAATACTAGTATATTCATAATAAAAGAATTATCTCTACTTTCAAATCTTGCAGATTGTTGGGGAAATGTCTGCAGAGCAGAGGATGGTTCTCCTCTTCTTTTGGACTTCCATTAAGTATCTACCGATAGAGGGTTTTGGTGGTTTGGCCTCTCGGCTTTACATCTACAAGTCCAACGAGTCCTACGTTCGCTTGCCTTCATCTCACACATGCTTCTACCGGTTGTGTTTTCCACCTTATCCATCTATGGCTGTCATGCGAGATCGTCTTCACATTATCGTCCAGGAACATGTTGGCTGCAGCTTTGGTACTTGGTGAAATAATTACATCTGCAATTTTGAGTCAAAAAGTATGTTTGACTGCACATAAAAGATTTGTCTCACCTTGTACAGATTATAGGATAATGTTGTCATATGTTATGAAACTATTTAAGAAGGTGCTGTTTGTGTGTTCTTGCTGAAGATCTTAATCTCTTTTTTCTTGGCAACTGTGAACTGTTTATACAGGTGGTATAGTGTAGTATAAATAAGGCAAGAAGGAAGAAAATTTCCCTCCTTGCATGGTTTTCCTTCTCTTTTTGAGTATCTGTTGCTTGGATGACATGTAAGGTTGTAGAAAATTATTGCTTGACATGATGTTATTTGTGAGAGGTTTATTTGTGAGTATCTATGAACTTTCAATGCTGGATGTGGGATATGAACTCGGTGACTGCTGATTGAGGAAGCTCATCACGTGGCTACATACACAATCACACATGTAAACCAGTGTATGGTTTATAGCTAGAATAGGATATTCTTTTAACAGCTGACGTGGCTGCCAACTGTCATGTTATATTTTGCCACTTTTTTTTTTGGATACCAGAACTCCCTTGGGCAGGGCCCTTTGGACCCACCCCAAGGTAACAAAATTTTACCATTTTTTTGGTTGGGTAATAACTACTATATAACACTATCATAGTTTAAGAGCCACATGTCACACCTGCCAATCTAGCAGGCTACACGTAACCCACTTAAGAGGACACTGTGTGACAAGCACGTAACCACTGAGAGTTGGGTTGTAGTCTTCTGCATTTGTGTGACATTACATGACATAAACAGAGTTGGGTTGTAGTCTTTTACATTTGTGTGACCACTGAGAGGACATTACATGACATAAACAGAGTTGGATTGTAGTCTTTCACTGTGTTGAAGATTGTGGAGTACTGTAGAGAGTTTGAAGATTTAGAGTCTTTTTACAAATGTATAGAAGATTGTGGAGTACCGTAGAAAGAGTTTGAATATTTAGGGTCTTTTACATATTTGTGTAGAAGATTGTGGAGTACTGTAGAGAGTTTGAAGGTTTAGAATGTGGGAAGAGATGGTAGGTATTTGGAGAGTAGAGAAAATTTTAGAAGAATAGGGAATTTTGTAAGGTTGCATATATTTGTGTATAAGGATAGGAGTGTCAGTAGTAAACTGTAAGGACCAAGAGTTTAGTAAAACCACAATCGTATTGAGTTGGGAACACTTAGGTAAATTTACACGGTAAATTTTTGATTCACGTGATTCAGTTTTATTTTATATTTTTATTTAGTTCAGTTAGATTATTTATGAATAGGGGTTCACATGATGGATTCCCGAGTTGTAATGATATTGGGGATTTTGAATATAATCATTTGAAGGATTGTTTAATTATTATTTATTGAAGGAGTTATTATTTAATTTTCTTTGCCATTTATTTATTTATTTTTATTTTCTCTTTGGGTTGGGAACACCTAAATAATTCTCTTTTCACCCAGAGTTAGATAGGGATGAGGTGTGACATATTTTGAAAACTAACTGTAACTATACAAATATTGATCAATGGAGTCAATGTGGTATTGACAGATCAATAGATCAATGGAATCAATGTGGTATTGACCAAACAATCGGTGGCTACGAGAGCTATATGAAATGTGTGAAATTCTCAAAACAATGTTTCAAACATAGAAAAATATACTAATATATATTATTAAAGCATAAATATATAGTATTATTATAATTGGAAAATCTAAAAACAAACATATCTCTCATCACACACACACCATATCAAACTCATTGACCGTCTTGGAACCAACATCCATATCTCAAGTATCAGTGTTCTGTAGCCCAGGGATTGATTAATACTAAGTGTAGCTTCCAAACCCCATCAAAAACTTAATTCAACATAACGATCACACTAATTCACTAACATAATAAAGTTTGAAAAAGAACTCAGCAAATATAAAAGCCAACGCTAAAGGAACCCCACTACTGCACCACCTTCTCTATTCCTCTGCCTTGTCAACTGGAACTTCATTGCCAGATTTCTCCACTGCTTCAGCTGGTTTGTCTTCTTTGGCAACGGCTTCCTCAGTAGGGGCTGGAGCTGCCGGTGCATCGGTGGCTTCGGCAGTTTCTTCTTTGGTTTCCTCAACAACAGGCTCTGGCTTCTTCACCACCTCTGGAGTCTCTTCTGCTTTCTCTTCCACTGGCTCTTCGGCTGTGACTTTGGCTTCCTCTACAACTTCTTTCTTAGTCTCAACAGCTTCCACAGGAGCTTCAACTTCACGGGTGGTCGATTCTTCTTCAGTTGTTGCTTCCTTTGATTCTTCGGCTGCCTCCGCCTCTGCCTCTGCTGGTGCAGCCACTACCTCTTCTGCGGGTGTCTCGAGCTTCCTCACTTCAGTTGTTTCATTCTCTGGCAATGTTGTAGCAGCTGGTGCAACCTGCAAGGCCCAATATTCAATCTTCAATAAAATCAAGTTGAATGATGTGCTATTAATTTGTGTGTGTGTGTGTAAGCAACAGATTAATTTTTGCATGTTAAGGATATTTGAGGAACATATATATTTACAATTATGTATTATCATGGTCACCAATATACATGATATTGTGTGGAACATTATTAATGTAACAAGATCCATCATTTGATGTATTGATATATATTTTAGTAAAAGACATGGTCTTGGCATTGCTTTAAACATGAAGATCAGACACAGATAACTTGATTGACTGATTAATTTAAAAAAAAAAAAAAAAACTATTAGTTGAGTTACCTCAACAGTGGCCATTGGAAAGGTAGGGAAAGTGTGTGTGAAAATGAAAAGAGTGTGTGAAGAAAAGGATGTAATATGACAGGAAGGAAGAACAAAGAATGGTTTGTGTGTGGAGATGATGGAATGTGAGAGCTATATATAGAGATGCAAATGCCTTTAATTATTTAAATTAATGGGGAGGAGGACTCAAAAAGAATCTTGACATCTCATGCCACTCACATAAAAGGCCATTAGCATGTCTAGTTGTAAATGTTTTTTCTTTATTATATATATATAGTAATATTTTTGGAAAAAATTATTCAATTATAAAAATTTGGTAAACTTTTATAGGTTGGAAATGCCACGTGGTGGAGGCCAAGTCTTATATCTTTTTGTTGGGTGGATTATTCAATGTTTTGTGCATGCAGGTGACTGGACTATCATGCTATCATGTTCTTGGATTTCTATTTGATTTCCCTTTTTTTTATTTTTTTTTATTTAACGCCTAATACAGTTCCTAGCTTTAAGAAAGTAAGGTTGGTAAAAAAGCAAACATGGATATCATTGGAAAAATACTGTAATTTAAATACCCTCTTGCCTGACATAGAAATTTAAGAATTTTTAAAGAACAGAATCATATCAAATTATGGAGTTCGCTAACACAATCATACTGAAAATTACAAAATATTATTATAATTTAATAATATAAAAACAATACAATATCGAAACTTTATATTGTAATAAAGATTATATTGTAATAAAGATGTTACGCATTTGTACAAATTTATACCACCAAGTCATTATTGTAGTACTAATTATTTTAGTGAGATTTTTTTATTGAAAAATATGTAATAGGTGAAACCACCAAAATTATTATAAAGAGGTTAATTCCCCCCCACCCCCCCCTTTTTTTTTTTTTTTTTTCTTATTGGACAATTAAAGAACCACTTTTATATTTTACTCTTGTAGTCAAAATTCGAAATGTTTACAAATTTGAAAATGACATTTCCTGTTTTTTTTCACTTAATAGTATTTCGGTATTTCCTAAACCTCTTGAGTAGAGACTTGAATGATGTGTGGACAGGACACGAGGCAAAAGCCAAACAAGAAGGATTAGGCCGGTGCCCAAAGTGGACCCACATCACCACCTGCGATCATGACCGTCCAAAAGCTCCATGCCACCAAAATAACATCAAAATGCTGACGTGTCCAGCTTTTCAGTCCTTTGATTCAGCCCCCCATTGAGCTCCTACCTTCTTCTAAAGATGTGCCCTCGTGGGCCCAGCTGTAGATTCGTTTGCTTTTCCAGGTGGTACGTTCGTGAGGTGGGACCCAATCACAGCTGGTTGATTTGCCACTCTGGATCGCAGTCACAACTCACAAGCTCTGATCACATCTATGCTCCATCATCCCATTTATTTTGGGAGAGGAGGAGTACCACCAATTTTTTTTGGATTGGCAATCAAAAAAAAAAAAAATTGTGATGTCTGTATATTGTGTACAAAAAAAAATTATTAGATGATTCTGAACTATTTATACTTGATGGATCCGTTCAATTGAGATCTTTCGATTAAAAAATGACTTCACAAAGAGTGTATTAGTCTACAAAAGTGTGAAATAGTCTCTTTAAGTTAAATCGTGATTTTTTTGTCAAAATGAAAGAATCTTACGCATTAGACGAGAAGTTCTACAATACTTGGGGTACTGTAGACCAAGACTTACAATAACTATTTGAATCTCGACATATCATTTTATTTATTTATTTGTTGGCAAGAAAAACACATACACCACTCACAAACACACTCAATTTGCTCCCTTTGGGAACTCGAACACCACATCATTCATTTTGAAAGGTAAAAAAAATACTACTAAATCACAAAAATACAAAATCTTAACATATCAAATATATTCATGTAAATCATACACTTATTTGAGCATATTGGTTACACTAATTTAAGGGCATTTTTGTCATTTGGGTAATAACTCAGATCCAAGGAGGATTTTGGTTGTTAATTTAGTAATGTTATTGTAGATCTCAATGCTTTAACTTCAATTTTCGAATTTTAGTACCTTAGACGTGATGTGTAGGGACGCGTCCCCTTCATCTTTGGATGGTTATTATTTATTTTTTTTTACCTTTGGATAGTTATTAGTGTCAAGGGAATTAACTTTTTTCATTTTTTTTATTTTTTATGCAGCATATATATATATGTGTGTGTGTGTGACTATGTAAAGTTGAAAAGTTGATTGAAACTTGAAAGTTGGGCGGTGTGGGGGGCAGTGCCCACCAAATGGATCAACACAGGTACGTTGTACCTCTGCCTTTGGTGTCAACAAGTAGAAACATGCTACGTGTGTTGTTCACAAAGGACAACCAATTCTTTATTGGTTCTTATGTTTGGTTTATTTTTCGGAAATTGGCTCTTGTTCTTGGTTCTACGTCATTGATTGATGGATGTTTTACGTGGTTAACCCACCACTGATTTTATAAAACCGTGTAGGGGTCTCCTCAAGTATACTACAATCAAGGGATCATCTTTTTCTAAATGAGTTGTGCAATGCGTCACAATTATGTAAGCGATTGAGATCTTACAATCGTGAGCATGCAAACTTAGAACGGGACTAACGCTGAGCTAGCGATTGAGATATTACAGTCATGACTATACAAGCTCAGCTTTTAAAACTTGTGAATCTCACAACGAGACTAACGATTGAGATATTTCAACCGTGCTTGTGCAAGCTCGGCCTTTGAGACTTGTGAATCTCACAACGAGACTAACGATTGAGATCTTGCAGCGCTGAGGTATTTCTCTTTCTACATTGTCAACCTCATGCATCTAGACTCAAAGATCTCTCTCTCCATTAAGAGAGGAGTATGAATTTGAAGTATCATTGTGCCAAAAATGTCAAAAGTAACGTGCGATTCAAAAAGATTCGACACTTACGCAATTCAGTGGACAAAAATGATGACTGGATGCATGCTTTAAGCTTTGGTGCCTGATGTTTTACTAACACCACCTGCATTGATGAATAATCAAGCTATCCTAAATCATGAAGTCCATACAATAACAAGTCACCAATCAAGACTGGTCCAGCTCCATAGGAACATACTTTTCCCTTTTTCGCTGCATTATGACTAGTCGGCAAATACCTTTTCCTTTGTTGTTCAACTTACCTGGTCCCGTGTAAAAGGGCTGTCTATTGTGTCGGCTTTTGATAGCAGATGTCGAAGAAAGTTTCCAAAGGTCCTACGTTCCTGCAACTAAGGAACTTATTTCAAGGTCCAAAAGTAAAAGAATTTGATACTCATCATTTTCAGAGTTTTAACAACTTTACGACATGAATAGTCCTAAAAGGAAAAGAAATTGATATCAATCCAACATTACATAATATGTTTCAAACAAAATCCGACACCAAAATCAGCTAGCAAATCCTTGTGTTTCAAAGCTGCTATTATCTGCATATAAATTTTAAAATGTGAAGCCACTTTGTATAAGTTATTACAGCCAGCGCTGTGGAAAATTAATTCCGCAACGGAGAGAATGCATCTGAGCTGAGATCCACAACATGGGGCTGAAAGTAATTCAACTTCATTTCTGGCAGGAGAGTTTCACCAGAAACGTAGAAAATGTTACTGAACAACGAAGCGCATAATCTCACTCGGTGGGAAGTTAAATGCTATTATATCATCGATTATTTGACGAGTTTCCTTAGTACAGCTTCAGCTCGCTGCTCAAATTTTGGTAAAGCCCATTCATGCTGAAATATGTCAAGACCATCTTTCTCGGCGCTCAAACCCTGACAAGGACAGTGCAAAAGATATAGGATTACAATTCATTCATGATGCAGAATGATTTCTCCTAGAGTAGGTGACACTGATTGATGCATATGCCATGACTCCACAATAAATTTAATAAATAACAACATGAGAATATTCCTTAAAAGAAATTCACATCTAATTTGACATTAATAATTTTAATAAGATCATCACATCAAGTCTTGTCTCAACATTTTAAAAAAGCTATCATCCCCCTCTCTGTTTATCATCAGAACAAGTGTCTAAAGCTCAAAGGCCACTTAAACCACTTCCAAACTACCATTTCCAAGTAAACCAATTTAGAGAGAGAGGGGCACTCACAACAAAGCTTCAGAAGGAGTACAAACTCGCAAATTAGTCACATTAAGTATGGCAATTGAAGAGGATTTAACATTTTAGATATAATGGCAGATCTGTAGGCATATAATCTTGCAGCCAACTTAAAGTAGAGCAAATTACTGAACCAAAAACACTTAAAAAGTACAGTAGTATGCCAACCCATTTTAGGCAGGTCTGTTTCTATAAAGCATAATTTGCAAAAACTACACATCCTATTGAAACACAAGTGTCATTCTATAAAACAAAAAGCACTAAATTAAGCATTAACAATTATTCCAAAATTAAACGGGGAAAAAAATAAAAATTTCAGAAGACAAATTGTAGTGTAAATGAAAAGAGATATTCAGCAGGTGCTGTTGAAAATTACACAAAACACAGCCACAATTTTTTTTTTCTTTTTCAATCAACATTCATAACTATTAAAGTCTGACCAAAATGTAAAAATTGATGAAATGTGCAGGTATGAGGAAAAAATTTGCCAACCAAAATCACAGGAAATATTTAAAGCATGATGTATAAAATTCATAGATTTGATTATCCTGAGCATAATTAAATTTTAGAAAGGGAGGTACCTATGATTGCAAATGAACCAAGCTGTTTATGTATAGCTCGGACTCAGCCCCTTCAATTACTAAATGAGCCCGATCTGAGCTCAATTTTAAGCTCGTTCATAAATGAGCTAAGCCGAGCTTAACATAAGCTCAGCTAGCCAGGCTCGTAAATATGCTTGAACCATAATAAATATGGGTATATGTTACATAAGGTTTATATAAAAAAGTTCCACACGATTAAAGCCCATTTCTATATTAGGCTTTTAGTAAAACTCTTCCTCTAAAAAAATGGCCCATCTTCTCAAGCCCATTAATCCAGTTAAGCTCTATTTTTATTTATTTATTTATTATCATTATTTTTTAACAGAGTTAAGCTCTATCAGTTGTGGACCATTAAATTATAATGGATCTAAGGATCAGTAGGATTTCCTATACGATTCTACAATACTTCCTGTCCTACTGCCATCTTGCTTCCAAGCGATTTTTCATGCAATCCATATCAGGTTAGTAACTTGGGATTGTAGGATCATACGATCCTATGATTCGGGTTGCAATTTTAACAACCATGATCCAAACACAACCCAAGCTTGAAGAAGTCTCTGAGTTTGGTGAGCAAAGCCCAAAAAATGCAAAGCTCGTCTCAGTTTGCAGCCCTAGAAGTTCCTTTGAGTTTATATGAGGATGGAGGAGAGGGACTTGGCACATGAAGGAAAAATATTGCACACCGAATGGTGCAATTGAGGGGGAGGGGGGGAAGACATTTAGGCCCATTTCAAAATAGTATTTGATAATTAATATCCCTGGATACAGTAGTTGTGTTACTTGCATATATATATAATGTGATAAACCATGTAGTGAATATTTGACCATATTATGAGTGAGAAACTACTTCTTTTAAGTGATGGCATTTCAGTCAATAAGCATTCATAGTGCTGCTAACCAAATACCAGGAGCTAATGCTGAAATCAGCCCACAGACCTGGATTGCAAGCCTAAGACCATCTATCAGCAGATCATAACCTATGGCCACCTACCAGAAGCATTTCTTCCCTAATCACCCAAGAGTCATTCAGATTCCTTAATGACAGTTCTTAGCAATCATGTTAGCCAAATAGGCCAAACTCAGCTTAACTCAATGCACCTCCATCCTCACTACTTGGGACAGCAACAACTTTGCTACAGACATGTGCGGTCAGCTTTTGCAATGTGGCAAACAATGTATTAGCAATCTGGGATCATCACTCAGTGGGGCCCTCTGTTAGATGGGTATAAGGTAAACATCTAAAAAAATAATACCCAAAAGTTTTCTTATTATGTTATTTCAATAACATGACTCTTTCAAGACGAGTGGAATGCCTATGTTGAACATTGTGTTATAAAATAAAAGAATATTAGAGGGTGTATATTTAGATATCTCCATGTCCTTGGATCTTAGAATTTGAAAAATTTTCGACACAGACATGTATCCTAGTCTATGTAAACACAGATGGGGCAAATCATACAGAACACATGAACAAAAATTTAGCATGAGCAGGCTATTTTAACCATCTTATTTTGAACAAAGAAATTAAATAATTTGAACGTAGTTTTTCAATATATGTTCTCGAGAAAAACAAACAATATCAGATAGTTCAAATTCTTCAAATTGAGCATTTTTTTATTTTTTTAAAAAAAAAAAAGAAAAGAAAAAAGAGTTGTCCACTTAGGAGTGATCCATCAGATGATGGACCCCTATATTAGGCAGGAAATGCCACGACGCAGAAAACAAACTGACAAAAGCAAAACTCATCCAACTAGGGTTTGGGTACAAACTAGTGGGTACAAGAATAAATTTCAATTATTTATTTATTTTATTTTATTTTGGATAAGTAAGTACAAGCATAAATTTCAATTGTGGCACATATTAACAAAATTAGGCCCTTCCACAACTAGAATTCATTTACACAAGCAATTTCAAACAATGTGAGCACATCTACATCATGAACAACCATTTGATAAGGTCTGTCTTAATTATGCTAGTTATACATAGGATAGCCCAGAATGAAAAAAAAAAATTCACGATTTGAATTTTGGCATGCTATGTTGTTCAAAACAAACAGCAGGAAATTGTAACCAGTTCCATGGTAATGATAACAAAAACATCCTTAATCAAAAGAAGCCCTGCGTTACCAACTAGGAAAAAAAAAGAGAAGCCCTACTTCATTCATAAATCAATTCTAGATTAGATAAATCCCTTTCCAACAAAAGAAGCAAATGTATAATGGGGTAAGCAAATTAGGCCATATAGCAACACAAGAATCTTGACATGAGATGACAAAGGAGGCAGCATCATTCAATTTTCTATTGATAAGAGGCAACTCAAATTGGCTTTGAAATTGTTCGTTACGAGCATCCTATACTACTATATGCAATAGTGGCACTTAAACCATAACCATAGTTGACAGCACAACAAAACCAATTCAGGTGAACTAAGGATCTGACATTGGTCGCCTATTAAAGGCTAGCTAAAGACATAAGGCCCCTGTCCTATGCAGCTCTGAGGATCCATATACAGAAGAGCCCAAGTTGCCAACTGAGCTGACACAAGTTCCTATTAGTGCCAAATTGATTGTGTAAACATCTTTCCTCCCTCTTTCTCAGGATGTCTAATGTTCCCTACCGACAAAACCGTCTTCATCATCACTCATGACACATCCTTCATATCACAATCTACTATAAACGACATCAAACACATCCCCCATTAAGGTGTTGAAGGAAAGTATAATCAAGTTGCAAGCTAGAGTACAGAATTCAATTTTCCTTGACATAAGATGCGTGTGAAGAGAAGAATTTTTCTTGACATAAAGAAAATCAACAACGTGAACTATATTTGACACTAAAAGTTGAATACTTCTTAAGCTTTATAAGTCAACAGATATTCTTATATGAACATACCTTGGTAGGATCAACGCCAAATCCACTCATTTGCATCATACGTTGTGTATCATCTGTGGCTGCATCAGAATTCAGAATATCATGTCAATTCCCCACAAAATCAGACATCCCAGAGATGAGCAACTCCGAATCACACTCTTGGGATTTTTCATATTTGTGAAAAGAAATCAACATGCATTTCTGAATAATTTCAAAGCATCACACGGTTAACATTTCATAAACAGACTAACCATTTTCTTCTCCGAAAATGAGACTAAATAAACCTCTTAGTCCAAATAGATTCAGGAAATACCTGAGAAAAATGAAATAGTGTATCATCAGATATTCAGCCAATGAAGAGTCAAGAAGTTAAAAACTTACATTAGATTATTCAAAAAATAGCATTTGAATAGTTGAACAAAAAGAATTGCTTTTTCATAAAGTAGGTCACGTACCATGAGCGACTACTGACATAGCTAACATCCACGGTGCTCAAGTCAATACCATTTTGTAACATTGACCTAAACCTCTGAGTCAGAGGAAAAGGTATCTTGGCTGTAGAAGAAATGTGAGGCAATCATATTCTTATAGTATCAGCAAACATACAGTTGAAAAGATCAATGTAGAGAAATATACATTTTGGAACAAAGATAAAAGGCACAAAACACAAAAGGCACAAAATCAGCATGTAAACAAGCAATAAGAAAATATGTAATGAAGAAAAAACTACATGCCGGTAGAAAAAGAGATTAGGTGTGTCATAAGGAAAAATCATGATTACTATCTCAATTCATAAAAACAAATCAACTCAGAAACCTAGGATTTCACTTAAAGATGAAGAAATGGACCTGCCACAAATCCAGAGAAGAAAAAGTTAACCCATGCGAAAGTAAGAGTCTGGCCAACACAGAAAAAAATAATTCAAAATGGTCAGATCCAACTGCACTGGAAAAAGTGATGAACTATGCAAAAAAAATGAAAAACCAATACCTGGGGTATGATCATTGAAAGGTTTTTCTTCATCATATCCATAGCCATGTTTGGATCAGAGAACATTTGTGCCTGCGGATTACTAGCCTGGCCCTTGGGAACATATAGTAACCCATTTTCCTGCAATGTTACATCAAATTATCTGCATGACATTAGAATATATTGGCATCGTTGTGCCTATTATAGATGAGTGGCCGAAGAAAGCATTACAAGCAACCGATGAGTAAAAAGATATAGTATGTATTATCGATTTAGGGAAGAAAATCTATCTTACATACATCTTTTTTACATGACTACAAGGTAAATTGGCAGTAAGAAAAAGATTCTAATTTACAATAATCTGGTCACTATCAGCATACACTTTTCGAGGTATTATTTTAAGACGATTATGTATTAATGCAAGCACTACTAACCTTGTTACTCTCTTGTACAATGGGATCCATATTTATACCTTGGAAAACAAATTTTGTTCATTCTGTAAATTATAAAAAGTGAGCTGTAGACACAACCTTACCCATGAATTGTCTTCACATAAGTTCAAACATCCAATCAGTAAACAAGGCTTGAAATTGAGCTGAAGCATATTGCTTTTGAAAATGGTTAACCACATCATTGATTTTTTGATGCACCAAAGCTCTTTTAATTCCCACTCAATGCAGTTAGAAATGCTATAGTCTCCATATTACTGCAACACTAACTCTCCTATTTGATCATAATTATCATCATCCTTGATGCACTTGACATGGTTCTACTCTATAACCCAACACACACCCACCCACCCCCCCCCCCCCCCCCCCCCCCCCCCGGGCGCCCAAAATACACACACACACACTCTGACAAATTCATGTACATCTCTCTACTATCTAGTCTACGTCCTGCTCAAGCGGTATCCTAGGAGAGGAAAATTTAGAGACAGATTTAACCTTTACAATTATATGCAGAGCTGCAGCTTATGAGACTCAAACATAAGCCTTCATGCATGTGAACTTGAGTTCTTACATCTCTCACACCATTAACAAGATATTGAACAAGAGAATCATCTTGAAAAATGTCCCCCTTGCACTTGATGATTGTGCCTTACTATTTAAGGGGAGAGGTAAAACTATACCCCAAGGGTTCCTCTCAACCCCAATCATCGAAGTCCAAAAACAAAATAGAAAAAGATCTTTCAAAGGCACACCTCTGTTTAGTTTTCAAAGTTCCAGATTGCACTATTTTATGTAGCATTTGAAGCAATGAATCCATTATCTATGATGCAGTAATCACAAAACTGAGTCTAAAAAAAACTGTAGTGCTTCACATTTTCACTAAAGTTCATTTTAGTGGCTGCAATTCTCCACAAAAAGAGTGTTTTTATTTTATTATATTTTCCTCATAAATGTTCATAATAGTGGAACGGAAGAATAATAATAACACTATCTACAGTGAGAAAACAAGGCCACTCAACATCCTAATTCACAAAATCACAGGACAGAGTATTGTTGTCCTCAATTATTTTCTCTAACTACGAAAAAAAATCAGGTGCAAGAAGAATAGCGGGCTCCCTACATATAGGGTACTGAACAAAGCAGCTTGCATGGACCTTGGGTAAGCCGGTTCACAAGGACTTAACACTTTCTTGTTAGCAAGTAACAATGGTCAACTCTTACTTCCATGCTCATCAGTGAGAGTATCTAAGGTCAAGCAAGCAATGGCTCAGCTAAACTAGGTTCAGAAACAATTATGTAACTACCATATGCTGATGTCCACCAGCAATCTATATCTGCAGAGATCTGGACGTTTTGTGAGAATCATGCCATCAGAAATGATATCTACACAGCTGTCCAATACTCGATAGTCCATACAGGCCTCTATACTTACTAGTAAATGCGTCAAGATGTACATTGACAAGTTTTTACATAACTAAACTAAGTTTTGTGCACCTCAAAACTATAATGCAACTTAACACAACCAGAAATGTCAAGTTGAAAAATAAACCTGAAATCGTCCTCTCCATTGGCAAGCTACTGCTTCAAACTTGAGTCTAATAGATAGCAATGGAGATTTGATTTACTCAATCAAATCATTGTCTCCATATCTCCGTTACGTATCGTACTCGAGTCTAATAGCTAACAATGGAGATTTCATTTACTCACTCAAATCACTGTCTCATACCTCCATTACGTGTTATATATGAGCCTAATAGACAGCAACGGAGATTTCATTTAGACACTGAAATCACTGTCTCAATTCCTCTGTTACGTATTGTCTCTTATACATACTTCTATTGTCCTTTTTAAATGTCAATTACAACAGCTGGCAACAACCAATCTGGTGGAAGAATTTGCTATTTATGTAGCAATATTGCTACCAACTGTTGCAATAAATTTAGATTCTAGAAGTTGGCTTTTGTTTTTATCTTTTAAGTCTCTAGTATTGTCGGTTGTGATAGAGCACCTAAATGGTACAGCTGAGCTAAGTTCAAGCTGGTGTGACATAATTGATGCTAAAGCCAAATTTAAGTTACAGGCAAATTCAGCCACTCCAACTTCAAACACACAAAACTTGGCTCACTTACCGTGAAATCTATAAGTAAACTGATCATTTATTTTCAGGCACCCAAGTACAAAATCACCGCTACCATAATCCACCCATAGCCACACATAAATAATAGTAATAGCAGGTTTATAAACGCAAATCAAATATTTCATTTCCTACGACATCAAAATCAGTCCTTTTCGTATTCATACCAAATAGGGAACGATGAATTCAAATCCTTCAATAAATTAAAAAATATATATACAAAAAATGAAAACATAATCAAACCTCATTGCTGAAATAAACCCTTCGAGCACGAAACGACTTTGGAGGGATGAAATTCGCAGAGGCCCGTAAATTCCTAGCCCTAACTATGATTTGCCTGAAATTCAACCAACACATACAACAAATAAAATTTAAAAAGTGACACACACACACACACACATATATATATATATATAATACACACATAGAGTGAGAAAGTGAGGAATATAACCCTTCTTTGACAATTTTGGCGTCGGGTGTCTGAGAAGAACGCATGAGCTTAGCGACGAAGTAGCGAAGGACTCCGATGAGAACCATCACCACCGACAGTGGTATCAGTACCCAATCTCTGATCGCTGTGTCCAACACCAAATCATCCGCCATTGGATCAGACCTCCAATTCTCTCTCTCCTCTCTCTGAAAATTGTCAAAGTGGTTCGTTTGATCCACTCGCTATTTGTGTTTTCTGGTCCTTGTCGTTTTGAGAGAAGGAAACTAGGAAAAGGGACCTTCGTGGTCTTTCAAACCGGGTATAACCGTCCATCAACATTGATTTCCAGGAAGGCAACGTCGTCGTTTGATTGGGCCCGTATCAAACAGCACTGGGATTGGACAAATACAACGAAAACTTTATATAGCCCAGCCCAATAAATTTTGTTTCCGGTAAGTTAGCCCAGCCCAACGAATCCGAACAATTGTCAACATTTTGTGTTATTAATTACTATCTCCGTCCTATTTTAATTGTGGGCCTTCGAAAAATATGACTCATAAAGGGAGTACTTTTATTATTATTCTTTCCCGAAAGTTTAAGCAGAGTTCATGCAATCTTTTCTTTCCACCAAGAGTCTCCAATGTATACTTAAACACATACTTCACGTGCGATGTGTTTACTATTATCAAATTTAAAGTAATTTGGCCTCAAAAACATTTAGCTAACAATATTGTTCTTAACAAACTCGAACTTAAAAGTTGGCGGATCTATAAATTGTTAATGGGGTGGGCTAAAATTTTTTTGGGTGGGCTAATACTAGTAATAATAATTTTATTTATTTATTTATTTATTTTATGGGCTAAAATGGCTTATAATAAAAATAAAAAATAAAAAAATTTGAAGTGGGCTTGAGCCCACCAATCCTAACACCTAGATACGCCAATAGGCAACGTTACTCTCTTTATTTTGTTAGCCAAGATGATGGATGTTATTTTTGTTCTTGGTTCAAATTCCAGTTTCTTATGGATGGTATGGTAAAATTTTGTAATATTTCTTAATCTGCCTTTGGAGAACTAATGGATTTCCTATACGATTTGGTATCTCACACCTAATTTGCGCTTGAAAGCACCAAATGGATAGTTTGAATTTGGACAAACCATTAGGTGCTCCAAAGGCAGATTGAGTGATATATATATATATATAAATGCTATTATTAAAAGTGGAAACAAGTATGTGTTGCTTCTTATGTGTGATTATGTTGCACATGGTTTATGCAACATTTTATAAGAAATATTCCTAGCTTGCTAATAGTGTGCATGTTTGCTTTATTCTTTTCGTCTGTTTGAACGTTTCTTCTACACCACTCTTCTATTGAACAAATATGTTCTCCACATTGAGTTCTTGAGTGAATCCCAAATCAAATTCCTTCACTCCATCTTCATCAAATGAGTTCAGCTTCTTTACCTCCCACCACATTCTACGCTAAAATGTTCTTGAATTCCCCTCCATTAATAATCTCTGAAGCGAGAAATTCATATAAGCCTTTCTTCAACCTGAAGAAATCTAATCATGATGAACACTTACCTCAAACACCATATACTTTTAGCGTTCCTCATTCACCATTGTCATTCCCAAGTTTGATTCAGAGTAACTTCTACTCGGGGCACGCAGGCTTGTCTCTCGTCACATTTGGTACTAATAATCAAAACTCGAGATCAGGAGAGGAAGATCAGAGGGCTGTGGAAGCTGTACTCAAGCTATATGCAGCAATTAAGAACAGAAACATTGGTGAATTGTCTGCATTAATTGGAGAAGAATGTCGGTGCATTTGCAACTTCATTTCTGCATTCCAACCATTCCAAGGGAAGAATGTATGCTCAGTCTTAACGACAAATGTTTTATATGGTCTCTTTTTCGAATCCCATTTCGTTAAAATTTAATTTATGATATGTTCATTTTTCAATTTTTTTGCAGCAAGTGCTGTATTTCTTCTCTTCCCTGATGAAATACTTGGGAAATAACATTGAATTTGTGATTAAACCAGTAATGGATGATGGTGGAATGGGTGTAGGTGTTTCTTGGAGACTAGGTGAGTCCCTTTGAATTAATATTGAAATTGCATATACAACAATAACAACCACCGACCAATCCTTTTGCCCAACTACTTGGGGGTCGGCTCCATATATCCCACTCTATTTAAGGTCCCGAATCAATTCACGTGCTATCATATTCTTTCTTAGTAGCTCTCCCGCGATAACTTTGGTCTCCTGTTATTGCAGAATGTACCAACACTCGTGTACCTCTGGCAAAGGGTTTCAGCTTCTACATGTGTCATGTCTACCAAGGGAGGGTGCTAATAAGGTGAGAAAATAGCTTAAACCTGAAAATTCCATTTGTTTGTATTAAGTGGATCATCATAGTTGTGCAACATTTAACCATGCAAATTGGTTGTATAAACATACATTAATTGTAAGGCAATTTACATTAACTTTTTCTGTTGATTGATCTAAATACTTTATATTAAAAGAAATTCCCATTAAACAAATAATAAATCCTAAAGTAGGACTAAAATCAATTTAATTAGCAGCATTAATTGTACTTTTGTGAAACTTGACATATTAATAACAAATTGTTCCCTTTTTGTTTATGCCTTGGCAATGTGAAATAATTCAGGAATGTGGAGATGTTCATGGAACCACTTCTTCATCTTGAACCCCTGAGACTGGTGAGTGCTGATGAACTTTTATATGAAAGATGGTAGTGAAATAGAACATAAACCATTATTGATTGTTTTCTAAACGCCTTTATTTTTGACAGAAAATTACGGTATCTGTGATGACAATATTCAATAAGCTGGTTTCCGACGTAGCATCCAAGGGTAAGGTACAAAGGGCCGCGTATATTTTTCTCACCGTGTTCTTCATGGCAGCCTCACTGTTCTTTTCGAGGTTCTTCTTGTATTAAGCCAAATCACAGTCCACAAAATAACACCTCATTTGCAGCAGTGACATAAAATTGGCAGTTGAAGTATAGGCCAAAGCAGACATTGTTAGTACTATTATGCTTAATACATACAATCAAAGAAACTCAACTTCTGTAGTTGAATATTTAATTATTTGAAAAATATTACTGTTTTTTTAATCCAAAAGGCTCCAGAAATTTTGCATCATATATTATATCACCATCAAATTCATATATAGGATCCTATTAGGACACAAGCAAAGCCACAAAAAATTTAAGTTTTAAAGCTTCTCATTGCCTTAGTCTGGAGTTTCAGAACAATGACAAACCACTGCCATGAACTATACAAATATGAAAGAATATATATATATCGCCATACGAAAAATTAGGCATGTGGTCATCAAACATTCGGAAGAATTACAAACAAACAAAAAAAATTAATTCCATTACACAAAAGAAAACTCCAATGCTATATGACTAAACAAGACGCGTGTCTAGGCAAACAAATATTATGGCAGGAAATAACTGGAGGCAATTTGATCACACAATTCTCAATCTTTCCGCATGAATTAGGATATATAATTCATTTGGCGCGAGAAAGTTGGCACAAACATTAGTAATTTAGCACAATCTAGTGGATTAATTGAATTTTCGTCACATAATAGTGTATAATATATATATATATATATATATATATATATATGTATATGTATGTATCAACTGCTTAGACGACTTGGAGAATTACCACCAGCATCATTATATGCAGATCAGCAAGAGTTGGTTGAACAGTTGCAGATACAAATCTAACAGACTTCATCAAAATGCACGCACTTGAAAAAACAAAAAAAAAAAAAAATGAACTTCCAAATGGTACCTGATATGAACAATCTAATCTATCGTATTGGATGAGGTAAATTGACGATTGTTAACCGTCTAATCTCCTCCATTCAACGAAGTAAGCTAGAATGGAGCATAGTTTCGGTGCAACTTAAGGAATTGGACTCGATAAATGAAAACTAGTGATCTGATTCACATTGCGAAGAGTGAGAGAACAAAATTCAAGAGAATGATAACATATTTTACTAATGTCTTCCGGAGATCTTGATTCTAGGTAGAAATTACATGGTAGGAACAAGACATGAGTTTATACGTGTGTTTATGAAGCTCAAACTCATATTTCATACATATGAGCATGTATCACGTTACAAGTCACTGCTAATTAGTCATCGCAGATTCATTACCAGATTTACGTATCTTTCTCAAAATCATTCATTTGAAACAATTGACGTAGTTCGGTAGTTGACAAAGACATTATTATTATTATTAGTTATTTATTATTTATTATTATATGCTTAAATTTATTTGTCTTGATTAGGACTTGTTTTGTGGTTTCTCATATAACAGAAAAGAATAATTCAAGTGTTACATAATTTTTAGATGTAGACATAGAAGTAGAACACCCCAAAAGGCAATGTTTAAAATATGGATTTCCGTTTTTTGGTTGCATTTCTAAAGAGATTTAAAAGTGACCAACATAATGTTTAAAATCATGATAATATTTACATTAAAATATGAAAGCTGATATTGAGGCTCCACTGTCATTTTCTCTCTAAATGAAATTATAAATTAACCTTACACGACACAAGTTTGGTTATTACCATTTTAATACCATAATTGTATTACCTTATTAAAATGACACACTTCCTATTATTTTTAACTTTTTTTCAATTCATTCACATTTTTATTGACTCACTCTCCCATCTTCCGAATATCAAAATTTTACGGCAAAATCAAGTTTGGAATTTTCATTTTGATGTAGCATCAATATCAAAACACTTAAAACCATTTTTTCCCGCGTTTTTAATTATAGAGGATATATTTATTGATATAGAGTTTGCTTCTAATTCAAATATGTTTATTCTACTATAAGGATAATCCTTCCTCATACACGAATTGTGTGTATTATTCTCTATCCCCTTGGATGAAATTTATTCTAGAATAAATATGGACATATTCATTAAAGAAAAAGTATTTTCAAAATCAACTCAAAAATATATATTCTAAAGAAAAAAAAGCAGAACAAAAGAATAAGAAATTATTTTGAGATTTCTTCAATATTAGGTGTCTTAACAAGTTCCATAATTTATTCTAACTCAAACACTTTATCATTAGTAAGATCTTCCATTTTTGGAGAGAAATAAAGGGACAGAGATGATGGGAGAGGACGTGAGAGAAGTTAAAAGAAATCTACACTCGAGAATTCCAGCTTTTGGCGTCAAGAATCTAACCTAAAATGAAAATGATATTATATACTACATACAAATCATGAAGTAAAACAATAAAATGAAGAATAGGCTCCAGATCTAAACTGGTGACTCAAACGTTAGGCCATCATCAAGATAACAGCCCAAAAGTTATAGTCATAAGGTATTCCGACACCCAAGAAACCCTGCACAAAATCAAATCAAGAAGAAAAAGATCAAATCTAGGCGGGAGAAAACCAAAACTAACCTAGATCAGAGATCTAGTCGGAGAAAACAACAAATCAACCCATAAGATCCGAAAACAAACTTAACATGAACAAATTTAGCCAAACAAAACAAAAACGGCGTAAAAAAAAAACACTAACGAAACACATTTATTAAAACACGCTAAGTTTATTGCAATCGTGGAAGGCGGCTATCATCTCCCCACTCCCATAAAAAGGAGCAAGGAGGCACTGAATGAAGAAGACAAAAGAAAGTTAGAGAGGTTATTTAGAATAGCAATAGATTATCTGAAAAACATATGATTTTTTGGAAGACCAATTCTTTTCAGGTCATTCAAATTTAAGAAATGTGCCATCATTCTCTTGATAATTTTTATCCAGGTCTTTTAAAAATCATATACATTAAAAATGACGATATTTTTATTTTATTTTATTTAACCAAAGGATATTTTTATTTAAAGTTGAAACTTAAAGCAACATAATCGACAAACCATTAGAGCAGATTTCACCTATGAAGTACAATATTGGTTAGGTATTGCTTGTTTATGTATTTTTTATAAAATGAATTGATTATATCATCAATATTACAAATATATCATTCTTTTTAAAAAAAATGACAAATATATTTTAGTTTTTAATTTTTAAAAACAATTTCCAATCAATTTACTAATATCCCAAGTCCAAATCCCACTACTTACCCAAATAGCCATTCCCTATGGAGATGCAATAATTTCCCATGGCGCAGGTTCTTAACCAACGCCCTCCACCCACAGCCGGCCAACGCCGGTCCTCGACTCGTTTGGACTTGTCTCCCATCCGACTCAGCCCCACGACTCGCCATCGAAGCGCTGACCAAAGCTGGACTTCTCTGCAGCGAGAGCTCAACTACAATGGCAGATTCTATTGCCTCTTCTCAGATAATCGTAAACAGGTGAGAAACCTCAAAGCTTCCGTTAAACTGTTCAATTTGGTTACACAACATTTTATTTGCCCAATTTTATTGTATTGTAAGTAAGAACATTTTCTGTTTGGTAAGTAAGAAAATTTTCTAAGTCCATACCTTAGTTCCAATCCGTGTTTTCCTGGGATGTAGAAAGCTCTATTATGCTATTTTCTACCTATCACTTGATAAGATCCCTAATTGGCTTTGAAATGATACCAAGAATTCAAAGGTAGACTAGGTAATAGAATTTATCAAAAAAAAAAAAAAAGGTCGACTAGGTAATAGAAAAATAACTTTAATTAGGAACTCCATTGCGCAATGGGCAATAATATTTAGGGCGACTAAATAGGACCGACTTTCGAAGCCTACTTAATCACCACAACATTTAAGTTTGGAAAGAGTAATGCTACCATGGCCGATGGGGTTTTTTGTGTGGCCCCTATAGATAGTGTCGAACAAGGATGGTTAGTCGGCAATAGACGAGATGGTCTCTCTTTTCTTAGAGTATTTATCTCGATGATTGTCAATCAGTCAGTAACGAAAATCGATGACCTCTGTCATTTTTCTTAAATTTAATCACATAAAATATCTTTTTTCCTTCCACAATTACTGTTTTGTAAGAGGTGTATTGTATCTGTTGAGGTTGTGTTTGGTTGCACATTACTAGGGCCTTGGAACTGGTACTAGGGGCACATTTTATTCCATCTGTTTGGTTACTAAAGACCATTAGCACGTGTTATGAGCATTGTAGGATGCTGAGAGGAGTAATATATGTAACATTTGGTATATTATTGGAGAGAGTGGCTACTCTTAGGTCCGAACCTGCATTCCCACATGGGACAACATAAGCATTTCATAATGCCTCTCCCACAGTCCCACTATTTACTTACTAATTTCATTAATTAATTTTGGAATGAATTTGAACTAAAAATATCGTGGTTTTCAAATTCGATATGACTAGAATTTGAACTTCAATTATGTGCCAAAAAAAAAAAAAAAACTGTCCCTTATTTCTATTTGAAATGTCATTTAGAATTGAGTGAATTGGTAATAAGGTGGGTGGGATATTCGGTTTTGGACTTGAAATATGGTGGCAGTTGAACCTATTGAGGTATTGAGGTTTTGTTTGATTCTGTAAAAATGGAGCCATGCGATTGGAATTGGAGGCAACAATCCAACTATTTTTCACTATATTAATGAAATAAGCTTGGGATTGGATTTGATACCCGCAACAAAATTAGATCCTTATACTCAACTGATTTACTGACCAGGACCAATCGATTCTGTGCAACCAAAGATAGGCCAAATAATTTGAGGAATGAGATCAACTCTTTCGATAACATGTTCTATTTGAATGTCTCACTAATGTCATGTTGCAGACTCCAAATGAGCTTATGATATTCTGTTTTCTAATCTGTATATGTATTGGTATTGCCTTGAGAGATGGCTCCTTGTAATATGAGGTAGACCATGAATTTCTTATGGTTTAAATACGAAAATCGTATTTATATGCAGTATGCACTTCGAAAATCATATGTGCAGGTTGTGTTTGGCTTGCTACTTGCAAGTTGTCGAATACATTTAAATGATTAGTTCATCTTATTGAGTCAACAAGGAACTGATGTAATCGTGGACGTTTAAAGTACAAATTAAGGTACCAATAAGTTTCTTAATGGATCTGTTCATCCCCAGAGTTTGGGTGGCCTTCCTGTGCATTGCATATGAATTTACCTTACCGTTACATCACTTAATATAAATGTCGAGTAGATCCTTTTTTTTCCTCAACCATTAAAAATCAGCTACATGGATAATAATGGCCAAAATTTATGATTCATGCATTTTTGGGCTTTGACTACCTAAATGTTGATCTAATACAACCCAAGGTCCTGTAGACTTGATTAACTGGATAATTTCCTACATGTGAAACAGGTCACAAGCTGCATGAAGATACCGATAACATTTTAAGTATGTTTTGGCTTGGTGAAGAGAAATAGTATCCAGGCACACTAGAATATCTCCGTTTGTCATTATTTTTTTTCTCCATTTGTCATTATTTTTTTTCTCCATTTGTCATTATTTTTTTTCTCCATTTGTCATTGCTTAGATGCTAGTGTACTTTCAAACAGAGAGGAAATATGTGTTATGGGGAAACATTGTCCTTCTCGTGTCACTGCCCTAATGAGAGCATGGTTCTGGTGGCAACAATTGCAATATTTTCTGGTTACACCTGTATTAACACGAATATTTAAGATTTGTCATTGTAATCAACTACTTAAGTTAATGAATGGAATTGAAATAAAGTGTTGTCAGCTTGGTTGAAGGGCATAAAATGTTTTTTGTTCAATACTGAGTTGAAAGGAAAATGGATTCATATAGCTGGCACGTGGTTGTTGGGTGAGTCTCTGTTGAATACTATTTTCTTGAGTACATATGATGAGAAAGCTATCAAGTTGAATACTAAGAGGCTTTGTATGAGAGTATTCCTTCTATGGACCAAGCATTAGATTAATCATTTTGATGCAAGTCTCTCTCTTTCTCTCTCTACTTTTCCTTAGTATAAATGTATTACTTTGCATATTCTTGGTTGCAGGAACAGGCCAGAAAAGCATTAGACGGTGCACTTGGTGGAAAGAAAAGTGAGTTTGAAAAATGGGACAAAGAAATTAAGAAGAGGGAGGAGTCGAGTGGAGGAGGTGATGCTGGTGGAGGAGGTTGGTTTAGATGGTTTGGTTGGTCCAATGATGACAATTTCTGGAAGGAAGCACAACCAACAAGCCTTGCCATATTAGGCATTCTGGTCCTGGTAAAAAGTCTCCTCAAGTCCTCCTCTTTAATTTTTTTTAGGTTCCTTTTTATATTGTGACTCTCTTAATCTCTCTCTCTCTCTCCTTTTATTTTTCAGTCCCTTATAATTGCAAAAGGTGAATTGTTACTTGCCGTTATCTTCAACCCATTGTTGTTTGTTTTACGTGGATCAAGAAATGGATTCACATTTATAACATCAAGGATTTCAAGAAATCCAGCTGGTCGTGCCAATTTTGAAAACATTCCCGCGCAAGCATATACCCCGGTTTCTGCTAAAGAGAGTGTAGTGAGAAAATGGGGAAGCGATTGATATTTCATCTTAGTTCAAACATCACTTGAATCCTGCATGTTGCTGGTGGAAGCTATCATTGTAGCCTTGCTTTTGTATTTGAAATGCAAATTTTGCAGAAGACACCTCTTTGTTTTTGACATGTCCTGACTGCTAGAGAATCTATCTACCTTCAGCGAAGGGTTACTTTTGTTTCTTATTCTACCTACTTGACGGACGGTTGAACCTGTAATGAGTTCTTTTATTTCAATTCTAACCGAGAAATATGAGTATCAGTATATTTTGAAACAGCTCATCATATTTGTAGAACACTTGAATGTCCAAGTTGATAGTAGAATACAAATTGTTGTTGTGCTTGGATAAAATTGAAACCAGACTATATATGTGAATAAAGTATACAAATTCTGAGTTCTTCTAAATGCTATGGAAGGTTTTATAAACTCATCCCACATTGTGTATGAAAAACAAAGGTGGGGTCATTTTCCATGGATCATCTTAAAGTGAGCCTCAAACTGCTCTCTCTCTTAGACCTTGACCCTAGTTAAACACATGGTTGTAAAAGAGTAAGGTGGTACAAGGTATTTGGATGTAAAAGATTTTTTTCTAAAATAATTTTTTATTTTTTGATATTTGATTGTCGTAAAGTGTTTATGAAAAAAAAAATTTTTAACCTGACAAAAAAAACTTATCCCATCAATTTTCAACAAGTTATTCTGAGAGACTTCACCTAGTTCTTTGCCAAATACGAAAAAATAAAAATAAATAAAAAAATTTTACCTGAAAAAAAATATATATATTTTCTAAAAAAAATATTTTAAGCCTAAAGTGCAAGTGCAAGCATGAAAATGAGGAGATAAAAGCCTAGAGCCAAAATCCATTGATTGAGCAGCTGAAAGAGTTGAATGGACAAAACGTATCTTCTCTTCTTTGAAAACGAAACTAGAAGATTCAAATTGCTTCAAAAGTATTGTGAGTTTTATTTATTTATTTGTGGAGGACATACACACACAAAAGAAGAAAAAATAGAAATATTTCTGTGCTATACTTTAGAGGTGTTCATGAAATAACCAATGAGGTTTCCTCTTTAAAGAGAACCAATAATGTTGCTTAACCCTAAAAAGTATTGTTATTTCTAATGCAATCAATACGGCTATCAAGAACCAAAGAGTGTCTAGTGGTACTTTTTTGACATCTAAAGCAGGAGGTCAAAAAAGTAAAAAATATATATCTATGGCTATCAAGATTATATGGTATTCATAAACTTAATTCATAAAAATTATATATATATATATATATATATATCTTGTATTTGATGCTTCTTTAATAATACTCTGTGCAATAAATATTTTATATATAATAGTATTTTCAATAATATATATGTCATCTTTCATTTGTTATTTTATTCAAGAAAATTATATAATAATTATTTTTTAAGGAATAATGTTCTAATTTTGATATATAATTGGGCTTATTCCAAAAAAGAAAAAGAAAAAAATGAATGAGCCTTTTTCTCTTTTTAAATATTTCAAAAAACACATTTTTTTTTTTTTTTCTTTTTGTCGCTTTTTTTTTTTTCCCCCTTTTCTTACCCTCATACTTAAATCCTCTAATGGAGATGTTATATTATAAATTACATGTCTTTTAGTAAATATTGCAATAACTATTAAAAGATACATTAATTTTTTTTTGGTCCTGACAAGAAAGAGCCAAAAGGCCATTACAAGAACAGCAAGAAACAGGCCAAGCAAACAACGTCAAAAATAATCACAAAACTTAAACTAGCAGACGATTCCAAAGAAACCTAAGCAAAAACTAAGACATGACCATCGTCATAAGAACCAAAACTTAAGCAGCTTCTGGAATAGGAGACCGTCCAGCACCCACCAACATGGCAATTTTTGTTGCGAACGACTGGAATGAATCTATTGAAAGAGTCTGTCAACTGCACTCCCAAGCCACCCAAAAATCCTAAATCAATCCCGCAAAAGAGGCAGGGATAAAACCACACAGAGGCGGGAACCACAAAACCCACACAGAGGCGGGGACCCGACATAGATCGGAGATCTAGTCTGAAAACCAAAAGCAGATTTACCCCGTCAAGCCAGAAACAAGCCTAAAGAAGCAAATCTAACAAAACAACAACGAAACGGCGTAAAAAACCCACCCACCGAGCGACTATGTACAACACGCCGAGTTTATTACTCGGTGTGAGGCGAGGATCGGCACCTCCCCACCCCCATGGGAAGAACCATGGGAGGGGGTGGGGAGCAAAACAGAGGGAAGAACGAAGGGGGCAGCTAAAGATACATTAATTTGAGAAAGTAAAAAACTAGGACCAAAAAGAAAGGGAACGGATCGTCTCCAAGAATAGTTCTCTCCAGGCATCTATAGGAATTAATCCTACGACTCTTAAGACGCCACATCAACAACTTATTTTTGACTTGTTCAAAATACTAAAAGTTACTACACTTTCTTAAAATATCTAATTATATTAAATTAGAGTTTACCCATATTAAAAAAAAAAAAAAAAAACTTTTTTTCTCTTTCTCCTCTCTTCTATATATATATATATATATATATGTTATATATAGGAGAGAATATATACAGATTATATACATATACGTCAGAGTCTTGGGGATGTTGTCTCTGGCGTCCATGCGCTCGGAGAAGGTGGCCATGGATTTTGTAATCCGACTTCCATGTTTACAATAGGATCCGTTCTCCAATAATATATATTTAAGAGTTTGGACAGTTTTGTTGATTGCCATCACCAAACATTGGAATTATTAATTGATTCGAAGGCTTCAAGCTTGAACAGTTTTGTTGATTGAAGGTTTGAAGCATTTGTTCGTCACTTTTCAACGGATTCTTGTGAACCCAATTCGATGCGACATCTGGAACGACATAGAAAGAAAGAAAGAAAGATGAGGTTTGAGAGAAAGAGAGAGTTGTCAATGGCGGATCAAGAAATACTCCGTATATAATCTGTATATATATATATTTACCAATCTGGATATATATATGATATATATAGGAGAGAGAAGGAAGAGAGGAGAAAGAGAAAAAAAGTTTTTTTGAATGTGGGTAAACTTGTAATTTAATATAGTTAGATATTTAAATAAAGTGTAGTAACTTTTAGTCTTTTGAACGAGTCAAAAATAAGTTGTTGATGTGGCGCCTTAGGAGTCGTAGGATTAATACATATAGATGCCTCGAGAGAACTATTCTTGGAGAGGTTCCATTCCCAAAAAGAAAACCAAGAAGAGAATTGTGATTCGTGAATATTCTGATGTGTTTCAATCCCCTCCGAACCTACTTTTTTTTTTTTTTTTTTCCGGGTTAAATGTTTCGACAAACATGAGACTTTGAGGTTTGGTTTAATTTGTCCTCACACCCTTAATAAAATTAAATACCAAAATTACCCTCCATCCCCACTTTCTTTCTCTAACCACCCTTAAAAGATGCTACAGTGGAATTAGTGTTATAATCACATGTTCTCTTTTTCTTTCCTATTCAAATTGTTGGTGTACCTCCTTATTTCCATTTAAACCGTGATTAAATCGATTGGTCCCACTGTTCTCAGTACATTATATAATTTGTTATTGCCATGGAATTCTTATTCATTACTAAATGTTGCTTTGGAGACCAATGTTTTTGAAGATCAGTAATCATATCCAAATTTTAGAAGATCTTTAGTTCTTTATTTGTAAATTACTCCCTCCGTCTCAAAATAAGTGTCATGCTTTTTTTTTTTTTTTTTTTTTTTTTTTTTTTTTTTTTTCTGTTCCAAAATAAATGTCCACTTTCCTTTTTCAAACAATATATTTCATATCATTCCAAAAATGTTCTTTGAGTTTAAATTTCAAACTTCAATATTCAAAACTTAAAAGGACAACTTAGTAATTTTTCAGGCAGACAATACATGATCCCACATGTCCCCTTAAAAATTACTACTCCCCATAAGTGACACTTATATTGGGACGGAGGGAGTAATATATTTGAGCTCAAACTGTAGATTAAATTTTGTGGACTCTTATCTATTGTTTCTAAGTGGGTTTGGATTAAATTATTTAGAATATAAGTCAACTGTAACTCAAAATATTTAACAAAATATTATATAATTTAAAATTAAAGAACTTGGCACTTAAGTTTGGTTAGAAAACAGTGAGAAATTGGAAGGAAGATTTTTTATATCTTGCACGAACCGTGGGGATTGCTTGCTCTTGTAAGAGAGAAAAAAACAAACATTTGGAGAGAAGTTATCGGCGTGGTAGACAAAGAGGGTGACGCGTTTGGATGGAGAGGAGTTGATGATGGTGGTAGAGAGAGAAAGAGGGTGAGGCGCCAATGGTGGTGCTGGGGAGAGGTAGGGCATGGATGGTGGTGGAGTATATATATATATCAAGGGTGGGTAAAAAGAAAAGTGAAGATGGAGGGTAATTTAGGTATTTGATTTTATCAAGGGTGTGAGAGCAAATTAAATCAAATTTGAAGGAGTGTCATAGCAATTTTCGCTCAAGTTTAATCAAAGAGTAATAAACTTAAACTTCAAGGGGTGTCGGAACATTTAATCCAGAAAGTAATAAACTCAAACCTTAGGGGTGTCGGAGCATTTATCCCTTTTTTTTTTTTTTTTTTCCCTATCTTAAATCTACTAGGAACGAGTTTAGTCCTGAACCACTTGATCAAGTTTCAATAATAGAAAATAATTCCCTATTTTGGATTAATTTTACTGACACCCCCTCAGGTTTGGCCATATATCACACTGAAATACCTTTAAAAAATTACTATTACTCATACCCCAAAACACTTTTCCCGCCAGTGACACCATCAAAATGGGCATGAAATGACCCTCAAATTTTAAATGCCTTTTAATCTAAAACAAGCCTCTCTCTCCAAAGCTTAGGTTATATAGTGCTACATATATCTGTTTATTTATTACTTTGTGTGTAGGGCTGCAAATGAACTAGCTTTGGCTTGTTCGAGCTCTGTTTGATATCTCCAGAATGGTGCTCAGGTTCCGTCGAGCTTGGCCTAACCCAGCCCGGGCTCGGCTCGGTAGAGATTCGACAAACTTGGGCTCGGGATCGAATCACATATTCAGGAAATTATCGTAATCTCTTTCATGAAATACGACCTTATCTCTGGCTAGAAAGAAATCTATCTAATCTTCATCTTCAACAAGAAGAAATTCATTTGGACTCCATGATCCATCTTAGACAAGAAATAAAAAATTAGAAATAGAGAACAAATTTAAAAATGAAATCAAACCTTTCAAAGGTTTTATCCTAGATCTACACCTTAAAATCCGTTAGAGAGATATAGAGAGAGAATAACTTTGTGTTGCATGATGAGATAACAACATAGGAGCTGCCGGCAAGACCATTCTACGGAGGGCGGAGCTGAAGAAGTGAAGAGCATTGCGAATTTACGGTTGTAGATATATACTTCTAGGTTATTCTTATGTTTTCTTTAACTTTTACAAATCAAGGGTTGAGATGTGTTAATTATTAGTGGAAAAGATTCAATGTTATTTGAATTATGGGTTAATTATATATAAGTTTGCAGGCCTTATTAATGAAATGGTGTAAGTTGGGCCAAATATTTTTGGGCTCTAAAATTTTTACATAGAGAATGGTATAATATGGGCTATACATTTTAATTGTAGAATAGTATTATAAATGGGCCTTTACTTCGCGAGTTTGTTCACGAGCTTAACGAGCCGAATTTAGCTCGTTTACTAAATGAGTTTGAAAATTGAGTCTGAAACAAGTTTGAAAATTGAGTTCAAGATCGGCTCGTTTACTAAATGAACGAGCCCGAACCCGAATCGAACTTTTATGCTCAGTTTATTTACAGCCCTATGATAAATATATATATTCATATATATATTTATATGAAGAATTAGTGTGTATAATATATATATATATATATATATGAAGAATTAAGCGATTTATTTTATTTGTTTTATTTTTTGGGTTTTATATATTTATTGTCTGAATTTTGTTCAATTTTTGTAAAATTATATATAATTAGAGTGATTTCGTAATAAAAAGAAATGCAATAAGTGAATTTAAAAAACATCCATCAGTCCATGTGGATTAATTTTATCACTCACACGGAACAAGAGATCACGACTCCATCACAATTACACACATATTGCAATGGGTATTTTGCTCGCTTAACAGAGAAGGTGAAAACAACGCTCGGGTCCACTACTCTCTTTATCTCTTTTCTTCCTCGTCGATCGGCGGCCTTCTAGAGACGGCACCACCCATTCCTCTCTCACCGCGCCGATACTCTCAAGGTCTTCCCGGTTCCCCTTCCTCTCTCTCTCTATATGTATGTATGAATATAAATATGCAATCGTTTTTAATATTGGAGTTTTTAATGTTAGAATTAGGGGTTTCAAAGTTAATGGAGAATTTTTAATCGTTGTTCAAACTTCAAACCCTAATACTCACTTTCAACTCATTGTGTTTTTTTTTTTTTTTTCCCTTCTCTCTCTCACTTTTAGAATTATTTTATCAATTAGGCATCTAAAGCGTTTAATGGTGGAATTTTCAGTGCTTTTATTCTAGAGGTTCGGAACTGTGAGTCTGTGTTCTTTAGAAGCATTGTAGGTTTGTTATAGCTTTTGAATTTAGGGTTCTTGCGGAGAAGGTTATCACTTACGGATCTGATAGCTAGGCTTGTTTTACCCGGCCCATGGGCCCATAACTGTCCAATACAAGATTTGATAATTTATACTTCTTTGTCCTCACAGAAAATACAGTGAAGGTTTGAACTCACAAGTCACAACTGCGAGCAACATTTTCGAGCAATCAACGAACCCTACCGATTCGACGGCCAATTCCAGCAAAACAATCAATTAATCTTTCCGCTTCATTCACAGGTTCGTTCATACTTCATATATATATATACACACACAAGGAACTTGTGTGTTATAATTCTGTAGCTTTTATGCCCTAGAAAATAAACCGACTCGACCTTTCTCATTTAGTCGATTTAATTTTGTTGTAAATAAATCAAAATCAATTCATACTTATCCGTTGGTTCATATATCAAACTCACAGAGTCACGTGTGAGTATATATATATATATATATATATATATATATATACACGTTGATAATGAAGCCCTAGGGGAAGTGCTTTTGTATAGAATTCTAAGCATTGTTATATTTTAGTATTTGTTTAGATTTTGGTTTTAAATTGGTGCTTTAGAATGCTAGAATATGTTTACTATATAAAGTAATTGATGGGATTACATCTCTCAACAGTGAAATTGGAATAGCCTGTGAAGAGGATGAAAACAAATAGAGAAGAAGAGAACACGGAGGGAGAGGAATACCCGAAGAGGCAGAAGGTGCTTCAGCAGACTTCTCCTTCTCCTTCACCACCTCGCCTTGCTTTCGATAATGCTCTCCTTCCACTTGCTTCTTATGATGATGACGATGATGAGGAGGATGATGAGAGGAGAGAAGGGAATAGGGGTAGAGTTGAAAACAATGGTGTAACGATTGGGCGAAATGGTCATAGAGTTGATGGGGAAGACGATGAAGATGATGAGGAAGATGATGATGATCATAGTAGCAGAGGACAGAGTCAAGGGATGCGCAACCGCATGGTCGAACTTCGTAAGGACTGTCCTTATCTCGATACTGTGAATCGTCAGGTATTCAACTTGTCTTTCTCTCAATTTTACTACCCTTTTGCTATTCTATTCACTACTTGCATTTTTCATTTGATTATAAGTGAATACATGTTTAAGGAAGATCTGTTATAGGTTCATTGGTCTCGATGTGGAGATAAAATCATCTTTTTAATTGTTTTATGCTTTCATCTAGCTTTAATAGAACCTCATGTGTGCCTTAGAGAACACTGTGTTTCTGTAGATATTTAAGTGCTACATGGGTATGATAGGATGCAATAATTTTTTTAATTAAATGTGAATTTCTAATAGTTTGTTTATGCATCTATCATAAATTGATAGTCTTTACAATAATGATTTTACACCTGAATTATTTGATTCTTTATCTTTTGCAGGTTCTAGATTTTGATTTTGAGAAGTTTTGCTCTGTCTCCCTATCAAATTTGAATGTTTATGCTTGTTTGGTCTGTGGGAAGTATTACCAAGGAAGAGGGCAGAAATCTCATGCATACACCCACAGCCTTGAAGCAGGGCACCATGTTTATATCAACCTTCGGACTGAGAAAGTTTATTGCCTCCCTGATGGATATGAAATTAACGACCCATCATTGGATGACATACGACACGTTCTGTACCCAAGGTTTGGCGATATTTTTGTTTCAGTGCTTTTTCTTCTGGCATGCAGTGAATTGAATACAAATTTTTTTTTGGAGGGGGGGAGTTACTATAGCATCCTCTATATATTTTTGCTAAAATGAGTATCTCAACTCATGAACTTCTGTATATTTATTGTTCTCATCTTCTGATATTATTTTCACAGGTTTAGTAGGGAACAAGTTGATCAGCTTGATAGAAACAAGCAGTGGTCTAGGGCGCTTGATGGTTCTGATTATCTTCCTGGAATGGTATGTAGCTCAGTTCTTAGTAACAATAAATTGCATTCTTGCTTATTGTCATCATTTTTGTCTTTTCTCATCTTTCATATGTATTGTCAAATGTCACAATTTGGTTCTCGTATAGTGTTTTCGATGATGATTTTTCGATCTTGGCAAATTTTCAGGTGGGACTGAATAATATCAAGGAAACTGATTTTGTGAATGTCACAATTCAATCTTTGATGCGCGTTACCCCCTTGAGGAATTTTTTCCTTATCCCTGAAAATTACCAACACAACAAATCTCCACTTGTTCAACGATTTGGAGAACTCACGAGAAAGATTTGGCATGCACGGAACTTCAAGGGACAGGTTTGTTTCTGGTGACAAAACACATTTTAATTATGGGTTGGAAACATGAAACCATTTTTGTCTAATTCAAGCATGTCTACTACAGGTGAGCCCACATGAGTTTCTGCAGGCAGTGATGAAAGCCAGTAAGAAACGGTTCCGGATAGGTGCGCAGTCTGACCCAGTTGAATTTATGTCATGGCTTCTTAATACACTGCATACAGATCTTAAAAGTTCGAAGAAAAGCAGCAGTATCATCCATCAATGCTTTCAGGTTTGTTGTTACATCTTGGCATTTTGGTCACAAAAGTAAATGTTTCAATTTCTTTTTGTATACGTTTCATCTAAGGAATGCATTCTGCTCATTAGGGAGAATTGGAGGTTGTGAAAGAGACTCATGGCAGAGCCATCTCTGAGAAGAGAGAAAATGGTGATGAACAGAATAATGGCACTGGTGCAGAAGGTGGAACTGAACAGGGTGGTGTTGTCACTGAGACAAGCAGAATGCCGTTCTTAATGCTTGGGCTGGACTTGCCACCACCACCACTTTTTCAAGATGTGATGGAGAAAAATATAATTCCACAGGTATGTGTTCAGTGTTTATTGTAGTTTCCTTATCAACAAGCTTTAGCATCTTATCTTGTCACTGCTTTTAGGGTTGACTGTTGTTTATTGTGGTTAAAATGTTCAAACTTGCTTGTTGGTTGAATGGAATATTGAAATTTTGATTCTGGGAAAATTTGTTGGAAGATCGAAAAGCATGGAAGAAATTTCAAGTAAATTAATACATCATATAAGTTAACAGTGTGCAATAAAAAAACTATACAAATTGTTTGGACAGACGTGATGTTATTACATTTTGGTGTTCATCCATCAAAAGCGTCACTAGTGCCTAAGAACCAATTGCTGTTTCAACAGTTCATTTACTGCTTACAGCTTGAAACTTTAGAAGGATAGAATTAGCCTGCAGGTTGATAGGTTTTGTGATGTTCTAACACCGCAGATGGTTCCATGGTCTTCTCTGTATTCCTCTAGAGGGTGCCTCCTTAGCTTTCACTCGCCCTGCAGGTTGATAAGAAATGTCTGAGAATAGCTTGAGTCTCTGCAAGAACCTTCTTAGGAATTATGAAAATTGAGCACCAGTACACTTGTATAGTAAATAAGACAGATTTTTATAAGTTGACACCTTCCTACAAAGGATAAGAATTTGGTTGCCCAGTTCTTGCCAAGCCATCTGTGTTATCATATGGTTTTGTTTGAACTTGTGAAATATTTGATTGAAAATGTCAGTACTTTTCAATATTATTATCATACGAGTTTTGAACAATATTTAATTCTTTAGAACTATTAGACACGGATTTAGATAAGTGGTGATGAATGAGAAATATGTGCTTGAAAATCTTGGCTGCCTCTTGAGATAGCTTTGAAATCATTCAAGCATGATTAGTTATCCTGCAAAGATTGATCTCACTAGACTTGGCTCAATTTTGATTGTGAACAAAAAGAGTTAGATAATTAAAAATGCGTTAACTTGTGTTACTATGGTTTGGATATTGGATTATATCTTGAAATAGCGTTACAGCGTTACTTGGGCTTGTGAAGAAGCTCTAGTGTGTGCAAAACTAAGACTAAATCAAGGTTGTTAGGATAGGGATTCTACGTAGGATCGATGAGAGGTCCATAGGATTGGATTCGTAGGGTCGGATCGAGAATTGTAAGCTGCTAATCGTGCTATAAAACTATTAGAAATGTAACTCAAACTAACTTGCTAAATCAAATATTTTCGATATAAGTAGAGAATAAAGCCAAATAACCAAATGAGACACTCTAGCAAAATCAATTAACATTAAAAGATATTAACACACATGACAGACACTTAAAATCAATTTTTTGATTTCAAAAAAAATTCAGCATAACAATCAAGCAAAATCTCAAAGACGAAATTGAAGTAAAGCCTAAAAGGGAACAGAGAATTAGAGAGAGAAAAGTACAATTTAGTTGCCTAATTGCATGAGCAATTTAGTTGAAAAGTTTACTTTTTGGCTCAAAAAAAAAAAGGAATAAGACAAAGATATAAAAAAACAACAGAAAAAATGAAGTCTCTCTTTGTTTTTGTTTCAGAATGGACAAATAATAGGTGAAAAAATAGAATTCTTTTTGTTCCTTGTACTGAAAAAAAAGAAGAGGAGAAATTAAGAAGAATAGAACAAAATAGAGGAAAATTTTGAAGTTTTGAACCATACCTTTGAAATTCAGAGTTTGATCGTCTCTACATTTGATGTTTAGTTCTTTGGTTTTTGTTTTTTATTTTTTAATGTAATTAGGCTAAAGAGTTGGAATTTATATTTAAAATGATTAAATATATTAGTCCAAAAATAATTGTAGGCCGAAATAAATCCGGAAGAAGAACAAAATGATACGATTTAGTGGATCGGTATCCTATGAGATCCTACAATCCTACTTCCGATTCTATGAAAAGAGAGAATATTGCATCTCTCTCAATTTTTATGCAAGCTATAACTTATTGCCCCAGAAAATCTCACTAATATTTGGATGCAGGTTGTCTGTCATTGAATAATATTAATTATGTTATGTAACAAAAAAGATGTCTTGCAATCTTTGCTCTAGTCATAGTGTTTTTTTCCCCTTTGTGTGTGCACGCGCACATTCTGAGAGAGGGAGATAATGTTTTTTTTTTTTTTTTTTTCTAGAATTCTTGAAAGAAGATCCCTAGCAACTTCCATAATTCATCTTTCTTTCTCCTCCTGCTCAGGATATATCCTGTCTTTCAAAGTCTATGCAGCTTATGAATGATCTTGCAGTCCTTTATTTCATCTTCATGTAAGAGATCTCCTTGATACCTAATGGACTTTGAAATTGTTGCCTGGTGCCATGCTTGCTCATGTAGGAGCTTGCCATTTTCAGGTTGTGGGCTTTGTAGTCATGAAGTTTCGATAGAGTTTTCATTCTGCGCAAATGACTTGGATGCCACTGAGATGCATGCCAACCTGCCCATGAACCTGCTTTTGTAGCTTTCTTGATACCATATCATGCTGGCTACTCCCTAAACCTCAAAAAATAGAGAGAAGAAAGAAAATTTGAATTATATTTGGAATTGCTTCACTGATTCTTTATTTTATTTTATTTATTTATTTAAGCTTGGCTACATTGCTTTTAGTTAGAACCTACCCATCAATGAGGGCAACTATTTTTTGGATTTCTAGCCCTTATCTTTTTAAATCAAACAACGTTTTTATAGATTGAAGTCCTTTCATTCTCCAACATGATCATTTCTTTAATGCCATTGTATGCTCCATTCATTCAGTTTCATGGATCACACCATTAATTTTAGCATGTCACCAATTTCTGCTATTTAATGAATGCCTCATTCTACAGAATTCTGTGTGCTCATTTCCCACATTTTGTTTTTTTGAAATGAATTGAGCCTCAGAGTCTCAGACTGTTTTGCCATTAAGTTACAGCAAAACGAACCGGGGCTTAGAGTGTTGTTAACATTAAGATTTAGGTCAATATACTCTGTAGAAGAGGTTTTGAAAAAGTGACCTAATAAAAGATGTTCTACTAATGCATTTTTTGTTATCTTCCCTATATACTCAATTTCAATTTCACTTGTTTTATGCTTTAGGTTCCACTTTTCAATATACTGAAGAAGTTTGATGGTGAGTCTGTCACAGAAGTTGTGCGTCCTCGTATAGCAAGGATGAGATATCGTGTTACCAGACTGCCGCAGTATCTAATTCTCCACATGCGCCGTTTTACGAAAAACAATTTCTTTGTGGAGAAAAATCCCACACTTGGTGAGTTTCTATATTGTTCTAATCCGATTATGATTTGCGTGATGGATCTAGGGATTGTAATTCCTTGTGGACTTTCTTAATGTACAGGCTTAAGTTGGTGGACAGAAAAAATGATTTACAAAACAGTTTCACAGGTCTCTCACAAATTTATGTGGTGGAAATTTTTTTATTTCACCTAAATTTGAAGGAAAATGACTTAAAAGAGTGTTTATATATTTCCCTTGAGATTAAGGATTTGAAACTTTTACCTCTCATGTTGAGACCTTTTTTTTTAGCATCTCTGTTGTCCATTTGACTGATAAAGTAATACTAAAATATCTTCTTTACTTATTCATGTATTCAATTCAGCGAATCTTAATACCGTGTTCCAGTTCCCTGTGTTCCTTACTAGTGTCATGTTTTCTTTCTCTCAGTTAATTTTCCTGTGAAGAATTTAGAGCTGAAGGATTATATTCCTTTGCCAACTCCTAAAAAGAGTGAGAGGTTGCGGTCAAAGTATGATTTGATTGCCAATATTGTTCATGATGGCAAACCAGGCGAAGGATCATATAGGGTGTTTGTACAACGGAAGTCTGAAGAACTCTGGTAATTCTATATCCTAGTTTATTTCCATATATATATAACTGAATATTATAATCCGATTAACTGACTAGTCTGAATTCCTTGCTTTCAGGTATGAGATGCAGGATCTGCATGTCTCGGAAACTCTTCCTCAGATGGTTGCACTCTCTGAGACTTATATGCAGATATATGAGCAGCACCAGTGATGTGGAAACTAGTTGTCCTATATTGTGTGTTATATAATAGCTGGAATTTTGACCTTATGGACGAGGAAATACAAAACCAAAAAAGGAGAAGCAATGAGTCCCCTTGAAGGGTGGGATCTAGCTACCCACAGTGGTTGAGTTTGGGAAGGGTAGAAGAAAAAACGAAAGTTATTACTTTATGAAACAAAAAGAAAAGAAGAGAGGTAAGCAAGTTAAGAATGTTGCTAAAAAATTGTTGGTTTTGTATGACTGGTCATGCTTCTAAAACACCGAGCTTCCTCGGAATGGTGTAGTTCTATTGTTTTTAGTATTCATGCTTTTACACAATGTGATTTAGTCATTCAGTTTAGAATATATTTACCATTTTCTAGTATCACATATATTCAGATGATTAACTACGAATTTGCTATTATTATAATAATAATAACTATTTTTTAATTTTTAAATTAGATCTTTGGTTGCTGTTTGACAGGGGTTCTCTCCTTTTATGGCTTTTGCAGACCAGATTATGGTAAGAGTAAACATCTAACCTCCTGTTGTCTCTGCCATATTTGTCTTATTTCAAGTCGAATGGGTATTTGTAGTGAAGCATTAGTATAATTTCTTTCTGAAAGTTTGCTAGGTTGGAATAAGGTTGTTTTGATAGGGTACACCCTCCACTGATCAAATGGACCCGGTGAAGTAAATGCCTGCATATCTTCCCTCTATAATGGAGAGTAGGTCCTAAAGCAATTATAGTCTAAAATGATGTGTAGCCATAGGGTTTGGTGGTTTCGACATCTTTATCATCATATCAAGACACCAATTTGGAAAATTTTGATTGGATCTCGTAGACTTTGGTGGTCAAGAGTACAGATTTACACACATTTCAATTCTCGATTGTATTAAGTCCACAGATTTACACACATTTCAATTCTCAATTGAGTACAATAGCGATTGTTGAAAGCGTTGGTTCTTTTCAAATATCAACCAGAAATTTACTTCTAGTTCTGGGAATAATTAAATTTAGAAAAGCATGGCCCAACGTTAATTATGCAAAACTCAATTTTCTTGAGACACCCACCAATTTGGAAAATTTCGATTGGACTTTGCATCCTGCTATCTCGTAGACTTTGGTTAAGAGTACAGATTTACACGCGTTTCAATTCTCAATTGAGTTGTTCAATTGAGTTGTCCTAGGGATGGTCATGATACAATCGTGATTGTTCAAGGCATTTTTCTTTTCAATACTCTTTTGAGATAATATATGGAGTAAGCAAGTGTTACAAATGAAAGCATATGACACCAATTTTTTTAGTTCGCAACACCTTCCAAAATTTATTAGCCTCCCTAGTTAGGATATGAGCAAGGAGAAATAGATTCACTCTTGGGGTATGCCCCATTTAATGCCATCCCTATGTTATCTAAAAAAAAAAAAAAAAAAAAAAAAAAATAATAATAATAATAATAATAAATGGTATAAATGGGTGTTTTAACATTATTGCATAACTGATAGATTTTATATTACACTCCTTTTCCATGACCTTAACAATGACATATACGTATCTTACTAGGTCTAAGGTCTTTATCACAGCTATTTCTATGTATAAAAGGAGATTACATATATGAGTTCCAAACGTTACATATCAAAAAAGTTGGGGGGGAGAGAGAGAGAGAGATGGAAGGAGAGATCAATAACTTCATCAAAGCATGGCTCTCAGTCTTCACATCTCTATGCTACTGCTATGGTATTGGCAAGATTGTTCCCAAAGGCACACTCAGACTGCTCACAATAGTCCCTGTGGTGTGTCTTTTCCTAGCCCTCCCTCTCACTCTCCGCTCTATGCATCTTGGAGGCACAAGCGCTTTCTTCATTGCCTGGCTCGCCAACTTCAAACTCCTCATGTTTGCATTTGGTAAAGGTCCTTTATCAGACCCTTCAATCTCTCTCCCTCAATTTGCTGCAATCGCTTCTCTTCCCATCAAAATCGTACAAAACCCATCTCCCAAAACGTCCAAAAAAGGTCAGAAATCGGCTTTGAATTATGCTACCAAAATTCTGCTTTTGGTCTTGTTTGTACGCGTGTATGATTACAGTGAATATATACATCCAAAGGTTATACTTGTCATGTATTGCTTCCATATATACTTTGCCTTGGAGATCATGTTTGCCATGGTTGCAGCCCTGGCTAGGACCCTTTTGGGGTTTGAGCTCGAGCCACAGTTTGACGAGCCGTACCTTTCAAGCTCACTACAAGACTTCTGGGGTCGAAGGTGGAACATGATGGTGAGTCGTATTCTACGCCCGACTGTATACGAACCCACCCTTGGGTTCTCAACCCAGCTTTTGGGCCGAAAATGGGCCCCTTTACCAGCAATTTTCAGCACATTTTTGGTGTCGGGCCTGATGCACGAGCTCATATTCTACTACTTGGGCCGCAAGAGGCCCACTTGGGACATCACGCGGCTCTTCTTGCTCCACGGGCTTTGTTTGATGGCTGAGATTGCAGTGAAGAAAGTGGTCACCGACAAGTATCGGTTGCCTCGAATCATCTCTGGCTCATTAACGGTGGCTTTTGTTTTCAGTACCGGATTTTGGCTGTTTTTTCCAGAGTTGTTTCGGTGTAATGCGTTTGAAAGAGCGTTTGATGAATACGCGGCTGTGGGCGCGTTTATGAAGGATGTTGGTCGGGCTTTAACATTCAAATCTTAATTTCAATGGGATATGAGGGTTTAGTCGACGGACTGGAACTTTTCTTCGCCTTTTCACATCGTGTTAGTAAATCAGTTATGCAATCTGCTACATCGATGTATGACCCTTACATCGAAAATGTAACACTCATACAACATATTATACAGTATAATGGTTTTGACTGATTAGTTACTTGACTATTCTCTCTTTGTACTGCACATAATTCTTTTTAGATAAAACTACTACTTTGTCATTTCACCAATAGTTGTTTTGTAAGCATTAGGGGCATGACTGAAAAATATGCAAATTGCATTAATAATACCAAATACATTATCAATTTAACAATACATGGCTGATCTATATATATATATATTTTTTAACACCAACAAACCAACGTATATTCAAGAGAAGGAAGAACCACAATATGGACAGAGAGCATTTAATAACCACTAGGACCATATACTTCAATTCGAATCATCACACTCCCTTTCCAGGGCCTTCTTACTCAATAAATGAGCAACACCATTCTCCGATTGGGGAACCACTCCCAAAGAAGGAGATGAATATCATTAAAAACAACTAATTGACCCGATTCAGAGGCCCTCAAACGCATCACCGACTGACAATCACTTTCAATAATCACATTATGGTAGTCCCAAGATTGCAGAAACAGTAAAGCAGCCCTTAAAGTCAAACTCTCTGCCAGAGAGGGACTACCAACATTAACCAGAAAAACTGAAGCAACCTTAAGTGGCTGGCCGAAATGGTTCTGGAGGATCAATCCACCCGCACAACACCGACGAGATCTATTGAAAGAAGCATCAAAATTGAGCTTTAGAAAATTAGTTTCCGGAACAGACCACCGGGCCGGCGAAACAGGAAGAGAAACAATACATAGCTGATCTATTTGCCATTTACAATTTTCACCTTTTGTTTATTTATATATTGTTAGGTTAAGAAATATATTGAAAGAAGACTTTTATAATTGTTTTTTTTCTTTTTTATACAAATATAAGAAAAGGGCTGTTCGTACTTATCAAAAAAAAGAAAGAAAAGGGCTGTTCGTAAGCACCAAGTTTGTTAAACCCATCCATTTCAGTTTTCAACTTCTAATTTTTCTTGTTAAACCACCCATCCATGCCAATGAGTCTGTTGGCAATGTTCGGGACAGTGTCTGAGATGACAAAAACAAATTCCAGCAGGAATGTGTTTTAAAATATATAGTAGCTCTCTTTCACCTCCAAAAGCGAGCACACAGGAAATGTGTGAAGGTGATAGAATAATTTTTATTGACACTTTTACTTTACTTATGAAAAAAAAAATAATAAATAAATAAATTGACACTTTCATGCTACATAAGTATAACATTAAGTATCTGTTGAATCTGAGAACATGTCGGAACCAACCTTAGTCAACCACGTGTTTGTTAGTCACACAGAGATAAACATTTATGTTGAATTCATTAAACTCAACGCCTAAATTCTTGTCCATGAATCTTTTTATTTTTTCTTACAACTGGGTCAAATTTAAAAAATTTAGGTCCTTTGGCTAGGCTGCTGTAGATGCTTAATATGGGACAGAGTAGCAGTTTTTAACTTATTTAAATTCAGCTTCAAAGTAGGAGTATTTCTTTAAATTTTAATACGAGATTTTAGTGCATAAAATAAAGAGTTTAATTCATTTGCACACTATGTGTTTTGTCAACTCTTCAAAAAAAAATTCTCCCACATTTGCAAATCTTGAGTCACACCTTTTACTTTTTTTGATACACATTAATCTCTCTCATCCTTTGAAGGTTACAACTGGTCGAACATAAGCCCAAATCAGCTAAATCACAATACTAAAATAAAGGCCCAAGTCTAGCAAGTCTTATTAATGATGAGCATTAGAATATGAAGTAAAACATATTTTGAGATAAATTTGTTGTAGAGGCAGTTATGAAATTATATATATAGAATAAATTCATAATTTCAACACTTTCAAATCACCATGAAAAATAAATAGAGTTCCTGTGTTTATCTAGAAAGTATTCAACAAACAAACAAAAAAATCTATTGCATTATAAACTACGAAAATTTGATGATTTTGATCTCTAAGTAGACAAGGAGTATTAGTATAAAAAAAAACATCTAAATCCAATAATTCACAAATTAAAGATTACTAACTTACTATAGAATTAGATAAAATAAATATAAATGGGAAAGTGTTAGAATTTCAAATTGATTTATAAAATAAAATCACAAACAAAATTACAATAATTCAATCTTTAAAACCAAAAAAACCAAATATGAAACGTGTTTAAATATAACATGATGAGAGATGAATTTCTTACTAATTACATGACCGGGACCTTGTTTGAAAATTTGACTTATAGTTTATTATCGACGAATTCGAGTTACTCATCGAGCACAATTTAAATAAATATTTTATAATATTTTAATCTAAATATTTATCTAGATTATGTTATAAAAAAAATTTACTTTAAAAAATTGTGTTATTAAATTTATATTTAATTTTAACCCGCCACTGACAATTTCTGGATACGCCCTGTGCCATTCCACTCGTTGCTTATAATGGAATCCGTGGTGGCCGGAATTCTCTTTTACTATCGTCGCATCCGCTTCCTCACTGGCAAGACATCAAAGCTCGCTGACATACACACCTCTGTCGCCACCGCCAACAGTAGCAGCAACAGAGCAGAGGCTGAGCGGTGGCTCCTCATCGCCGACAAATTCCTCGAACCCGACCCCAGCAATTCAATTTAACTCATCAATTACATCATTCTCATCAACATAGCACTAAAATTATGTAAAAAAAACCCATAAATTCAACCATATGTATCCTTCAAGCTCGCGGTCTGCCGCTATCCTCTTCTTCGTCGCCGGTCTGCCGTTGTCCTCTTCTTCATCGCCGTTGTCTCTCGTCGCTGCTCTCGTTTCAGCCCTTAAAACTTGCCTTACGCGATTTGGGACAGACAAATCAATAATATTTTATTCAGGGAAAAAAACCATACATGTGGCTTTTTTTTATTTTAGAAGAATAAAAAGTGTTTGGTTAGACGCATGGGATAGTCATTGAAAGGAGTTGCATAAAAGGTGTTTGGTTAACGGTTATATGAAAAAATAACAAAAAATGGTAAATTAATCATTTTAATCACTTATTTAGTATGGTCAACCAACAATGTCTGAGAATCTGAATGAAGATTTGCAAATAAGGGGAGGTCTCGTTGGCTACAAGGGATGTAAATGAATTAAACCCTAAAATAAATATGTTGAAATACAATTTTAGTACGTTGTTAAATGTTGTCTTACTTTGGATAACGTCACTCTAATTGCAAAATGCATGCACATACAGAAGAAGGGCCAAATGATACCTTTCATCATTTCTTATTCTGTTGAAACTTGACGGCATTACTGAATGATAATTGTAAACTATAATTCGAGTTCAACGTAAAATTTATTAAAAGTTTAGAATCAAAAGACAAAATGCATCGCTTCCACTCGTATACAGGATAATGACAATTTAGAAGCAGAGCTGTGAATTATTTTCCTATAACCTTTGTCATTTATATATATATATATATATATATGCAGAGACAGACTTTTGTTGAGTTGAGAATGATAATGGATGGCTCTGTTCCGCATATATTAGAACAAGTGCATTTCATATGATTGAAAGAGAATGCCAAATTCATCTTTGATATTTCATTGTTTTTTTTATGTGTATAATTATTGATGAAGCTGATAACAAATCAATTCTAAGAAAAACCACGCATAAGTTATTTTCTTATTTTCAAATTAATTTGACACTGGCTGAAATCTTAAAAATTGAAATTTATTTGTACTAATTTTAAAAGACATATGAGCCCTTTTTGAAGTTGAAAAACTGAAGTGCATGAATTTAAAAAAAAAAAATAATAAGAGTCATGAGCTCTCTCTATTTAACTATTAAATAAAATATTTTTTTTAAGTGTAAAAATTTAATGTACCTAAATTAAAAAATAGAATAACTCATGAAACTTCTCATGAGAGAACTTTTTAAGAGCATTAATAAAAATCCAAAATCTCATACAGCCCGGCTTCTTAGACCAATTTTGTATTCTTTGAAGAGCACGTTTCTTAATAAAATTCTTAATTAGTAGAGTGACAAGGTATTAGAATTGTCCTCTGTTGGATATCCGGGATTGCCTAATTTAAAGCTTCAATTGAGACAATCTCACATGGATGCCATTTTCACTCCGTACACAACCACTGTATTTGTAGTGGCAAGTAGATCTTACCAGCATCTTTCACCTCGAGAGCACACAGGAAATGTTAAGTGGTATGAATACTTTTTCTTGACTCAATAATGCCAATGTTTTTTTTTTCCATTTTTTTTTGAAAATAAAGCAACTGATATTAAAGGAATTAAAGGATTACAAGGTTTGGGCCGCAGCCCATTGCCGATTAATTACAAACAGGCCCACTTGGGCAGCAAGGGCATAGGCCCAATCAGAAATAACCTAACAATCATTTACTGTTAATATAACTGTTAATTGAAGAGGTTGTTTTACCAACTCCGGTGAGATTTTCTAGCCGGCAATACGGCTAGATTGAGCTAGTCTGGAGGGCGAGGAGGAGGTCTGCAACACGACGGAGGGAGATTCCATTCACAAAGTAAAGTTCTCGATGCTGCGCAATTGTTTAGGAAGCCAAGTCTGAGAATTGAAGTGATAGTAAAAGTGATCTTAGCCACTACCCCTCTTTGCAAACACTTCTCTTTCTTGAAGATTCTGTTGTTGCGTTCTTCCCATGTGTAGTAGACAATTAAAGAAAGACATATCTTCCTGACCAAATTATACCAAGGTACCAATCTAGGTATAATCTGGTGTGAAAATTCCCAATTATTCTTAGAATGAAATTCAATTTGTGGTTGGCAGTCCAATCTGGACCGTCAACACTTGACAGCAAATCAATGACTAAGCACCACAATCTTTGAGTCCTATGCTCAACATCAATGGAATCACATGATCAGTTTGAAGGTACCAATGTTGTTATCAAACATTCCCGCATAGATCAGTTTTGTCACGTTGCCTTAGTCGAGCATGTGGTTGTTAGTGCATACATAGATTACCTTTACGTTGAATTCATTGAACTCAACAGCTAAATTTTTAGGTTGGAGTCAAAACCTAAGTGACATAAAACGGGAGTGAATTAGAGAGCGGAATCGTGAAAGCAGCAAAATTAAGTCAGAAATAATGAGACTTTGAGTGAGAACGCGTTCGGAACATGAAAGTAATATTTGTTGAAAAGAATTGTGTGACTTATGTTAAAACTAATCATTTAAGTTCACAAACCTCGACTATAAATTGATAGTTAATATATAAGGAGTTTGAGTTCTTTACAGTAACAACACAGTGTTGTATCATAATAAATGACCAAAATTATTGACACGTGAGGTGTGACATAAAATTCAAAAGTGAAGCACATTCGATTAAATTTATATAAATAAAAAATAATATAATAATAACATCAAATAATAACACTTTTATCAATATTCTTAAACACATGCCTAGCTAAAATCTAAAAATGAGTTCAAACTTTGCAATGTTGGCACGTGTTCTACCGCAATTAAAGTGTTAAGCGATGACTGATGGCAAAGGTCATTCACGTGTATCCCGTACGACAAGCTTACCTTTCAAAGTCATATCGTCATACTGTGGATTATCAATTCAACTAAAGAATTGTTTTTGTCACAGTAATGTACATGTATAAAAGGAGAAAACATATATGGATTCCAAAAACATTACATATCAAAAAAGTGAAGAGAGAGTAAAGAGAGAGAGAGAGATGGAAGGAGAGATCAACAACTTCATCAAGGTATGGCTCTCAGTCTTCACATCTCTATGCTACTGCTATGGTATAGCCAAGATTGTACCCAAAGGCACACCAAGACTGCTCACAATAGTCCCTGTGGTGTGTCTCTTCCTAGCTTTGCCTCTCAATTTACACACTATGCATCTTGGAGGCACAAGCGCATTCTTCATTGCTTGGCTTGCCAACTTCAAACTCCTCATGTTTGCATTTGGTAAAGGCCCTTTATCACACCCTTCAATCTCTCTCCTACAGTTTGTTGCAATCGCTTCTCTCCCAATCAAAATCATACAAAACCCACCTCTTAAAACGTCAAAAAAAGGCCATAAATCGACTCTCAATTATGCTATCAAATTTATTCTTTTGGTGTTGTTAGTCCGTGCGTATGATTACAGTGAATATTTACATCCAAAGATCACATTTTTGCTGCAATGCTTGCATGTATACTTTGCCTTGGAGATCATACTAGCGATGATTGCAGCCCTGGCTCGGACACTTTTGGGGTCGGAGTTGGAGCCCCAGTTCGACGAGCCATACCTTTCAACCTCACTGCAAGACTTCTGGGGTCGAAGGTGGAACATGATGGTGAGTCGCATTCTGCGCCCGACCGTGTACCAACTCACCCTCGGTCTCTCAACGGGACTTTTGGGCCGGAAATGGGCCCCTTTACTAGCAGTTTTCAGTACATTTATGGCGTCGGGCCTGATGCACGAGCTCATATTCTACTACTTGGGTCGCGCAAGGCCCACTTGGGACATCACGTGTTTCTTCTTGCTCCACGGGCTGTGCTTGATGGTTGAGATTGCGGTCAAGAAGGTGGTCACGGACAGGTATCAATTGCCTCGGATCATCTCTGGGACACTGACGTTGGCTTTCGTGATGAGTACTGGCTTTTGGCTGTTTTTCCCGGAGTTGTTTCGGTGTAATGCTTTCGAAAGAGGGTCTGAGGAGTACGCGGCGATGGGCTCGTTTGTGAAGAACATTGGTCGAGCTTTAATGTTTAAATCTGTAAATGGAACGAGTGTTTGGTCTATTTAGTAGACACTTCACGTGTTGCCTGAACCACATTCTTGGTAATGTTCATCCAATAAAAATGTACAATTAAATAAAACTAATCACACCTACTTATAAATACCGCCCTGAACAAACTATGATGCATTTTCTTCTTTAAATAGTACCGATCGAATCGACTACTTGAAATTAATATATATATATATATTGAACATAATTTCTTTTAATTTTAATTTCAATGCATAAGTTCAATATTTCAAAACATAGTTTAAAGGATTTTTTAATTTTAATTTCAAGGCACAATAATTTTGACTGATTATTTACTGGACGATTCTCTCTTGGTAACACTACACATTTTTGCTCTCACTAACCGTTGTTTTGTAAGAATTAGGAGGCATGACTGGAAAATGTAGCAAATTGCAGGAATCTACAATTACATTATATATCTGCAATAAATTTCCTTTTCTATTTTTCCTTTACAACTTTCACTTTTTATTTTATATATATACAAACACAATGGTGGAGCTAAGAAATTTAATACTTCGTATTAAACAATGTCAAGATAATTTTTTTTTTTTTTTTTTTTTTTTTTTTTTTTTTTTTTTTTTTTTTTTTACCAAAATAACAAAATTTAAAATCATTAAATATTAATTGATACTATTTTTATTTAGTAAATTTATGATTGCCCTCGAACCTAATGTTCCGGGGTTGAATGTTACGGGATTGATTTCAATAAATTGTAAGCCTAGTTTTTATTATTTAAAATCCAATTCATCCAACAAAAACGAACACGCCCAAATCATATAAATATTATTTGTTTTGCACATTTTCTTATTTAGTGTTTATAATTTTGTTCAAAATATGGTATACAATTAAATATGAGTAGTGATTTAGAGATCGACTTCAATAATTACCGAATTTAATTTATGTGAGAGGCATCACATGAAGTAATGATAATATCAGATAATAGATTCCACCACTCTACTCACATAAATTAAATTCGATAACTATGGAATTTAATTCTTAAATCATTATCATTAAATATTTTCCACTCATGTAAGGGTTACCGGATATACTACACCCTTACAATTTTGGATAAAGTGCATTTAATCACTCATTGACTTTTACCGCTTTGCAATAAACCCCTCTTGATTAATTTTTTTTTACTAGAAAACCCCTCTCTACCAACCGAGGGGGGTTGTTTTTCGGATTTTTGCCAAAAGTACCCTCACTGACCAGGTCAGGGGAGACTTTTGCAGTTTTTCCATTTGGTTGAATTTAGCTAAAAGTTTCTTTGTTTACTTTCTCAAATAATATTATTTTAACTTATATTTTATGTTACATAATTTTAATTAAATAAAACTATAAAAAAAATTTTAAAAGTAATATTTATAATTTTGAGTGCAACTACGTATAAGTTCAAATTTTATATGTGTACTCACATTATATTATTACCATTATTATATTATTTATATTATATTTCAATTTTATATAATGTGTACATATAAGTATATCATATGGACATTTGATCAAAAAATTAGACAGACAAAAATGAAATTTTTTTATACAAAAAGTAATTGGATGGCATAAAATTGTAAACATTTCTCTATTTTTTTCAATAAAAAATGAAAAAAAATATTTTAGTTAAATTCACATAATTGGACAAATTGTATAAAAACCCCCATTGACTTGGTTGGTGGGGGTATATTCGGCAAAATTTCAAAAAGCAACACCCCTCGGTTCGTTGAGGGGTTTTTTTAATAAAAAAAATTGTAAAAAGAAGTTTATAGCAAAACGGTAAAAGTTAAGAGGGGTTAAATTCACTTTACCTTGCAATTTTTAATTTGCCTACAATAGGAGAGTGAATATTGTTTTTCTTGATGATTTAATGTTATTTCTTGCCTTTTGGTCAATATATATCAATTTCAAACCAATTAAATGCACTTGTTCTAGATATGTGGAATATGGCAATTCATTATCATTCTCAACTCAAAAGAGGTCTGTCAACATTGATATATACATCTTATATAAATGATATTAGGGAGAGAAATCACAACAATGTTGCCAAAATGTCATTATTATCCATGATGCATTTTGTCTTTTGATTTTAAACTTTTAAGAATTTTTATGTTGATTGAACATAAATTGGTAGGTTAATCAGTCTTGTTTGCTGTAAGAGTATGAAATCAAAGAAGGGAAAATTTAAAAATACTCTACTTAATTTTGTATAATTTAAAAAATGTTAACTTTTTCAAACTAATAAGTTTGACTACTAACTTATTGAAAATAATTACAAAACTATACTAAAACACTATTTATATTTTTTTATGGTCCAAAATACCCTTCATTTTGTTTTTCTCACTCTAGCCTTCACACCGATGTTGTCATTTTAGGGCATAATTTTCTCTTTCCTCTCTTGATATTCTCTCTGCCGATTCAAGGGCGATCGATTTCACTATATCTTTTTTTCCCTAGTTGGAACTCACACATACTACCTCTACTGAGATTCAAACTCCTGACATCCCCTTTGAAAAGTAGGAGCCTTATACCGCTAGGCCACAGGCTTGTTGGTGATTTCACCATATCAAAGATCGAAGGTGCTATTGATTTCTCGAAATATTGTGCTATTGAGTTTTCTTCTGGCGATTTGGACGCGATTTTAGGGCATACACGACTGATCCATGGTAGTTTCCTCTTATCTTCGAAAAGAGGCCATGTTTAAGCCCTTTGGTGTCAGTTTCTCTGATTAATTAACATTGTGGTTTTTTTGAGTTGTTTGTTTCGATATTGGGGTTGAATATTATTCGATTTTAGAGTTTTGTGAAACTAAAACGATTTATGTTAGAAACTTCATTTCTCTGTTTTAAAGTAAATCTAGAGAAAGAACTTTATTTTGAAAGATTAGTTGAGAAGAAAATAAAGATGCAAGAGAAATAATTCATTAAGTTCCAGTTCAGTAGGTGGAAACCTTGTAACTTGGTGGTTGCTGGAACAGGTCACAGATTTGCTCAAAACTTTAAGCTTTATATTACATAACCCATGTTTGTTATCATTATACTTAGAATATCAGGGGAAACTAGCAGTTGATATCGGCTTTAGCTCAACTTATTTGATTATTAGTATGAGTTATTTTTTATCCCTTCTAATGGCCATAAGTTCTTTCATGTGTTGTTATAACTTGAATTCTTCTTCTCCCATTGTAGCGTGGAAAATTTCACTTTTACACTTGCTTTTTTTCTTCATTATTAGCAGCTATTATTTTTTTTTTAATGCTTCGAGATGTCTAGTTTGTAAGTCCAGCATTATCATTTCAATTATTTGCACATGCTCATCATAATTATTGCTCTCTCCCCAGTTCATGATTTAAGGTGTCAATTGTGCAACCTGCTTATGAGATAAGGTGCTTTATCCCTTGCATACAAAACAACATTAGAACCTGGCCTGATAACTGGAATGAGATGATGTGCCATTTAAAGCAACTTTCTTTTTTTTTTTTTTTTTTTTTTTTTTTTTTTTTTTTTTTTTTTTGCTTCAGCTTATTTTTCTTTTGAGGGTTTGATTTTTTGTGAATGTTGTTAATTTATAAACATCATTTTTCCAGAATCTGCACATTGCTAGCTTAGAGACGAAACAATGTCAAATCAACAAATGAAGGAATTAGTTTGCATATGTCACTATGGTGGTAAATTGATAGTAAGTGATGAAAATATTTCCTATCGTGGTGGGATAGCGGCAGCCTTGATAGTGAATGCAAATACTAAATGCAATGAATTCTTACAGAATATATCTACATAACTTTCAATTGATTTGAATGACAAAGTTATATAATATAAGTATAGGCAAGTTGAACTAATGCAGTTATGCCAGGAAAGTGGTTTAAGGGCAATGTTTAGTCTGAACGACTATACAACCGATCTTTATATAGTAAATGCATTAATTCGCGACGAGACAGTCTTACCATCTGAGCCATTCAGTTCCAGGTACATTAATTGTACATAATTTATATTATTAATTATGAGAAATCTTACATTTGTGTTGTACTACACTTCTTATAACATGACTATGAAATTGCTTTACAGGGAGTTTATCCATTAAGGTGTGCCTTTAAATAATAAGTCACGCAATAGTGCAAAGTCAATTAACCTACCATCATACTTGAATCCTATCTTTAATGGCTTGGTCAAAATACTTCAAGGCTAGGGGCAATTATTTGATAGTATAAATGATTTCAAGCTATCAGTGGCTCATTTTGCTCTGACAAATCACTTTAGAGTAAAGTATCTACAAAGTAGTCGGAGTTACTATAGAATAGTATGTACCATTGAAGGATGTCCTTGGAAATTAACAGCTAGGTGTCATGGAAATTGTGATATAGTAAGGGTGAAACGCTTTATGAATGTGCATACACACACTGCATAAGACATATATAGTATGAGGCCAAACATACGCCCAAAACAGTTGCGTAAATTGATGGCAGAAAAAGTTTCAGAATCACCGAATTATACTCCAAGATGCATCGGGAATGATATTAAAAGCATATTCAACACAAAACTGAATTACATGTAAATGTGGCGGACAAAGCAGTGTGCAAAACAGATAATTGATGGGAGGTCTGAGGATGGTTACAAGATGATCCCTTTTTATTGTCAACACATTAAAGATTCTATGCCGGGATCAGTAGTGGAGTTGATTACGATAGATGACATGAAATTTAAAGCACTGTTTATAGCATATGCATGTTCGATACGTGGGTGCCAACATTATAGGCCATTTCTTTCAATAGATGCTTGTCACCTCAGTGGCAATTTTAAGGGCACCTTGTTGGATGTTACTGGGTCTGATGTGGACGATGGACTATATCCTCTTGCTTATGGAATAGTATCTGGGGAGAACGACGAAGACTGGACGTGGTTCCTTCGAAAAGTGAAGGAAATACTTCAGAAGCGGGTCGTAACAATCATGACCGATAGACACCAAAGTTTAATAAATGGTGTTAAAGAAGTTTTTGGATCCCATTTTCATAGCTGGTGTTTGCGATATTTACAGGATAATTTCATGAAATTCATTAATGGAAAGGGTAGTCTCAACATTAGAGGTGGTGTGAAGGATATAACCAAGTCTCTATTAGATAAAATTGCCTA